ACGTGTATATGTGTATGTTTGTCTGTGCCTGTGCTCATGTGTGCGTGTGTGTGTGTGTGTGTGTGTGTCTGACCTCATGCATATGTGTATATTTTTTCTGAACTACTTAAGAGTAAATTGCCTTCATCATGTTTACTTAATCCTAAATTCTTCACTTGTTTTCCCTAAACACAGTGATAAAAATCAGGAACTTAACACTGATAAGGATATTATTATCTAATCTATTGACCTTATTCGATTTCACCAGTTGTCCCCACTGTGTCTTTTATAGCAAACTAAAACCCCAGATCCTGTGTTGCGTTCAATTGTCATATCTCTCCTTTCCTTTAATTTGGAGCCATTTTCCAGTATTTCTTTGTGTTTCAGGGTATATTAGAGACCTAGGTTTTTTGTTTGTTTGTTTGCTGGTTTTGGTTGTATCTAAGTATATACCAACCATTGTTCCATACTGATTGATCTTGAGAGCAGTGTGGCATAGTGATTGAGCCAGGGCTCTGAGGCCAGACTACCTGGTTTCAAACGCTTGTTTCACTACTTAATACCTCCGTTATCTTAAACAAGTTTTCTTAACTGTGAAATGCAGATACCAGTACTACCTCTTAGGGTTGTGAGAATTAAATGAACGCATATGTATACATTACTGAGTACAGTGGCCGGCCCAGAGCAAGCTCTCAAAAAACGCTAGCTATGCGTATTCACACCACTAAGTGACATTCCCAGAGACATTTTACAGACATCTTGGCAGTAGCTGGTGTGGCTCTGTGCTCTCCCTCTCCCCTCCCACCCTCCTTTTTTTCACATCTAGGTTCCAGGGAGCAAACTTGGCCAGCTTCCTCAACTGCACTGGGGTTTAGGTTGGTAAACCTGCTTTAAGAAAATGGCTCCTAGATGCTGGTTCATAGACTCGTACTGGTTGGTTACAGAGTTTCACTGGTTTAAGAATAGGAACAGTGAAGTGACTTTTCATAAATGTGAAATGTTTTATTAATTATTTATTATAAAATTATATAGTTCTTTCTTTTTTTGGTTTAGAATGTTCTTTTTAAAAATGATGTTTATTATAGATGGTTGTCCTGTCATTCATTATTATATTTTAATATATTTAGTAGGCAAAAAAAAAAAAAAAAAAAAAAAAAAAAAAGAAAAGGCAAACCTATTAATCCCCAAAGTATGTTTAGAGATTTTAGTGGTCCATGGCAGCCAATGGTCTGGGAATTACTGCCCTAAAAGACATATGTTTGGCTTTGTGTTTATATATGAACACCTGTGAACAATATATCTAAAAATTCATTAATTTAGTCATTGGTTGAATGAACATTTATTGACTCCCTTCTGAATACCAGACACTGTACTAAATGCTTTATGTACTTCATCCTCGTAATTAACCCTGTGAGCTGTGTATTATTCTCCCTGCCTACAGTGAGGAACTAGAACCTCAGAGAGAGTACACAGGTGTGGGTGGTGTAACTGCATTTAGAACCCAGGCCTCCCTGATTACAGAGGGCCGAGTGTGCTCTTTTTTACACCTAGTGGTGCGCAGCCTGTGTGCTTTGCACCTGTGGAATTTTAGCATAGGATCCACACAACCACAAGTTCATGAGTCTCTTTTCAATCAAGTTGCGCTGAAGGTGCAATACCGTGTGGAGGGCCTTGTAATACAAAACGTTGAAGACACCTCCCCACCTTTCCGACATCAACCATTTGGACAATAGGTAGGAGTTCCTAATTTTTGATGACTCTTAAATTAGGAATGAAACCACCACCTTTGCCGGAGTCAGGGTGATTCTTCTGCCTTTGGTTCTGGCTATATATAGGCTGCTTTCCAAGGAAAGAAAATGAGCTGCTGTGTCAAATGAGTGGGTACCCAAGGAACCCTTCAAGAACTCCTGACTGGGCATAGAAGTTAAGATGGCATTTAAAGACATCGTTAATGTAAGCTGGAAGGTGGAAGGCTGAGTCAGGAGTTGCTGAAGTAGACAGATTCCAGCTCCAAAGCTGTGGGACTCTGTGTAGGGCAGTATTTCTTAACTTTGGCTGCACGTCCCAGTCGTCTGTGGTGCCTCTTAAAAAATACATAGCCCCGTGCCCCATTCTAGACCTACTGAGTGAGGCTCTTTGACTGCGGGACCCACGTGTATGTGCAGTTGAAAAGCTCCCCCAGGTCATCCTGAGGCCCAGCTTGCCTCTGGCTGATACTGGCTGATTGGCTGCTTCACCAGCCTTGGTAAGGCCCCCTTAGGTTAAGGATCGCTGTCCTAGGCACGCCCTTGAAAGTTACAACTTCAACTTCTTTTTTTTTTTTTTTTTTTTTACAACGTCAACTTCTGATCGCAGGTGCTGGGGTTGATAAATGAAGCAAGCCTTGGGATCATCAGAGCTCACGAGGGCATTTTCAATCCCTTCTTTCCCTAACTGTTCACTGAAGTTACGGGCTTTCTTGTCAGAAGCCCATCTCTGTAAACTGCTGACCGCACGCTCATGATTCCCTCGTCCTGAGTGGTAGTTGTAGAGGAGCAGTTTTCCAGTGATTTAATCATGCACTGACTCCTTTCGTACCTTCTGGAATCCTGCACCTACGCCACCAGTGGCGCAAGGGAAGAGCCGCTGCTCTGAGGCTCACCCCACACCCTCGCTGTGGCCTGTAAGGGGCTGGTGTGAGCTAGCTCCCTCCTCAGCTCACACCAGCCCCCTTCTTCCCTGGCTGGGTTGAAGACACCCCTGTCATCTTCTGGTCCTTGAATATGCTAACCTCATGCTTCCTGTGCCCTCAGATTTTTTGGTGGATTCTCTCTAACTACTTGGGTCTCAGCTCAGATGTTGTCTCCTCAGAGAGATGTTTCCTCATCAGCCTCTGTTGTGTTACCTATTTTATTTTCATCGTAGCATTTACCAGTCTCAAATGATTTTATTTACTTACTTATTGTTTGTCCCCTCCACTCTAATGTCAGCTCCATGAGAGCAGATGTCTGCCTATCTTGTTTGCCATTGAGCTCCCAGCATCTGGGACTGTGCCTGGCTCGTAACAGGTGCTCACTAAGGATTAGAGGGCAGGAACGCTTTGGGTTCTACACCTTTGCCCACACTTCCTGTAGGGCAGGGCCGAGCTGAGCTTGTACGGGTATCTGTTATTGCTAGTAGCTTAGAACTGTAGCAGTTTTCTGGAGCAAAGCTAAACATGCTTGAACCTTGTGATTTTTCTAAGTCTGTCCTGCTGCAACGTTCCCACAGAGCTTTTTCTTGCCCACATGTTGTCGGTTAGAATAACTGTTTGGAAATATATGTCCATAAGGCTCAATTACAGGGTAAATGATCCCTTTGGATTAGAGTTAATTTGATAGCCTCTCAAATGATGGGATTTTTGTCTTCTGGGAAAGAGCTATATCCTGAGATCCTGGGCAGTAAAGGACATCTTGAATTTGGAAGAATTTAGCCCTATTTATCACTCCTGTCTCTCCCCTTGCTAAAGAAATACTGTAGTCTGGGTACAGACCAACTCATGGCCTGACTTTTGGACTGTCAGAGACATAAGTGAGGCCTGCTTGGAGAGTGTGATGCTGTGTGTTTTATAAAGTTTCGGAGAGTTTCAGGACCCCGCGTGGGTTAGAGGGGTCTTCCTAGTGGACCCCTTTGAGAATCTGATAATAGCAGCAGACCCTCTCCTTAGAAAATGTACAAACACCTGTGCATATAGTTTTGCCTGTAATTTTGAGGGGTATGAGGACTTGCGAAATGCCTTCCATGGACCCTAAACTGTTTGGGGATTTAGATTGGTTTGCTCATCCACCACAGCTGGGTCATAGCTCTTCCATGGCTGTTTCTTTCTGACTTGGTCTCCTGTCTTCTGTGCCCTCTCTTGTTTTTATAATAACCTGCTGGACCCTCTCAGGCCCAGAAGAGACGATATTCTCCCGGAGTGCAGGTACTCAGTTCTTGACCCACCATGGCCATCCCGTACTCCCTATGTGTCCATCCAACATTTGCTACTGTTTAGAATCCGTGTGGCTGTTATATCAGGAGTCACCAGTCTCCGATTTTGACTGCATCTTCACCTTGCATGTTGATTGTTTAGGACAATGAGGGACTCACCAAAGAAGTGGCATGTCTCATGTTTCCTGTCCTTTTATCCCCCTGCCTCTCTGCACTGCCTTAGCACTGGGCTTGTTCTGGAATGGTTAGCTCATTATTTCTAGGGAAGAATTTGCTCTACGAGTCTACTGGAGAGAGAGGACCTCTGAAGTAGGTGGGAAAATGGGTGGCATATGAGGAAACTTTCAGTGGGAGAACCTTGCCCTGAGTATTAGTGGGAGAAGTTATGTGTGGTGAAGCTTAAATGGGCTGGGTGGTCTTTTGACTAAGAATAGTCATCTGTGGCTGGAGAACACCACCTTGCAGCCTGGTTCTGGCACTGCCCTTTCTGAGTCCTGACCCATTTAACATCATATGCTTATAGAATTTTAGAATTTGAAAGGTGCTATCCTGAATGGAAAGATTTCCCTGATTGAACAGGTATTTTCAGAATACCTCTGTGTGCAAAATACTTGCCCTGGGGGGGAAGGGATGGAGCTAAGGTGGACACATGCAGAGAGGCATAATAAATGATTTTTCTCTTCAAGAAGTTTATATGGCCATTACACACACACACACACACACACACACGAAGAAAAACAACAGTCTTGTGTAGACTATAAGTGCCAAATGGCGATCTTTGGGAGGATTCCAGTCAGACTCCAGAGTGTCAGAGGGGCCATTCCAGACCCACCCCAAATGGGTGCAAGGAGGATTCCTGAAGGCAGGTAGAGAGGTCAGTCACCTCTGGGCCATGTCCCTCGAGTGACCATCTCAGTGTGGGTTCTTGGGGGCTGCTAGTGATGCCACAGAGCGGTTGTCTGGTCTGCCGTGAGGACCTCAGCTGTATGTGCAGAATTCCTGGCGCTGTTTGCACAGGTGTTCCTAAGAGCACTTCCTCACCGTTCTCTGCTTTTCCTCCCCTGCCTTCCCAGCGGGTTTTCCCCTACGTCTCAGCCATGGTGAACAACGGCTCCCTCAGCTATGATCACGAGCGGGACGGGCGGCCTACAGAACTGGGGGGCTGTACGGCCATTGTCCGCAATCTCCATTATGACACCTTCCTTGTGATTCGCTATGTCAAGAGGCATTTGACGGTGAGTCCCTGTTCTGGACCTGTTGGCGATATGGGCTGTCTCGCTCCCACTTCTGTGGCCTGGCCCTGATTTATCACTTTTTAATTTTTTTTTTTTGCGGTACGCCGGCCTCTCACTGTTGCGGGCCTAGCCGCTCTGTGGCATGTGGGATCTTCCCAGACCGGGGCACGAACCCGTGTCCCCTGCATCGGCAGGCGGACTCTCAACCACTGGGCCACCAGGGAAGCCCTATCTCTTCTTTTTATTCTAGATAATGATGGACATCGATGGCAAGCATGAGTGGAGGGACTGCATAGAGGTGCCCGGTGTCCGTCTGCCCCGGGGCTACTACTTCGGCACCTCCTCCATCACTGGGGATCTCTCAGGTACTGCCATGTGCGCTCCTTACTTGCCCTAACTGAGGTCACATCTCGATAGGCAGCCTGGGTGAGGCTTCTCAGAGGGGAGAGCCAGCCAGGCAGAACTCTGGCAAACAAGTGCCCTGTGAGCGCTTATCTTCCTGCATTCTCGTGTCCAGATCGCTTAAAAGCCCAGGCCGGCGGTTATCTAGCACAGTTGTCTTCGGGAGATGTTTGGTGCTAATGGAAAGCAGTGTTTGCCTCTACATCAAGCCAGCTCTTCCAGCCTGTGTTTTGAGTTCTGTGCTTTCCTGTTTCTTGTGCCTCCTTTTATAGCCAGGTTCCTGTCCTTTCACCTAATGTGCTTAGTCCCCTTTCTCTTCACAAAGCTTTTCCTCGACTCTGCCCTCCCTCTTCCGACCCCCGGACTGTCCTTTGTGCTCAGACTCGACTCTGTTGTGCGCGCAGATGCTTGCGTTTCTAAGACGTCCGCCCCTGTAAACTACCGCCACGGTAAATGCCGCACTCAGGCCCGTGTCTCTGCCATGCTGTTAGCACAAGTATTTTTGTAAAAGCTCCTTCTGTTTCTTCGCTGTTCTGTGTGCTTGCTGTTGGCCCTCTCTTCAGCTTGTTTGACCAATTACTCTGAAACCCCTGCCTTCCTTGACTTATGTGGCGTTAGCAGTACCGGGCTTTTCTACTGTTCTCTCTCCTCTGGATTTTCTTCCTACATGTTTCCCATTAGAAGCTTCTTTTATGTGCTTATTCTCTCCTTTGGCTTTAGCATCAATCATAACGTCTTTTCAGAAGAGGAAAAGAATTAAACTTTTGGTTCTTTTGATATAATGTATTATGAGTGAAGCTAGGATGAAGTAGAACTTTCTTCTGGCAAGAAAGAAAGGCAAATACCCATCTGAAATGGGCAGCATGCACTCAGTTTCAGCCATTGTTGCCAATAGAAAATGTGGGCTCAATGAGGCCATGTCTTCTAGTTTTTCAAGAGAAGCTGGAAATCTGGATTTTTTTAAATGAAATCTGATTTTGTAAATCCTGGCAACTAATTGTTTTAAAAAAATCAACCTTATTGAGATATGCTTTCCACATAACAGAAGTATATAGTGTGAAGAGATTTGACAAATATTTACATATATATAACCACCATCCCAGTCAAGATACAGAATGTTTCCATCAGGGAAAAATTCTCTTGTGCCCCTTTGCAGCATTCCTCCCTTACCTTGCCTCCAGGCAACCATTGATCTGCTTCCTGTCACTTATAAGAGATTAATTTTGGCAGCCAGTTCTAAATACTGTGCAGGTAGGCCAGAGCTGTGGGACATCTTACCTTGGCACAGGTAAGGGGAGGCACAGGCTGGAGATCTTTGCTATGGAATCTTGTTATATGACTCAAGTTGAAAGAGGTATCCCTGTCCACAAGTTTCCTGTGAGCTTGCAGGCTTCTGGGACCTGCTCAGTTAACCTCCTGTTGTACTTGTCAGTGGGAAGTTGTTCCCAACTGTTGGAAATGGCCAAAGAATAATTTTTTGTTTATCCTAAGGAGTCCTTTGTTCTAAGTTCTTGGCAATAATGCCTAGGTTAGTACATCCATGTTCTCCGCCTGTAGGATACCCCTAAATACAAATTGCATCTTTCTATTAAGGTCTTTCTTGTTAACATCTTAACTTGTTTTGCTGTGGATTATTGGAAACTGCTGAGAAAGGACACATCACAGCTGTCCCAGCCTTTGATGCCCCTACATTGTGAGGAGCATCACTGTGGTTCTTTATCCTGTCCCATGGTTTAATCTCAGTCCTGGCAGAGAAAACATTTTTTCTAATTGAAGGTAAATCCAGTTTTTTTACCTGGGGGTCTGCTAAAGATTCTAAGAGTCCATGCAGCTATAAATGCCATCCTAATAATAGAGATGGCAAGAAATCCAGTCTGCAAAAACCAACCTAGTAGCAGTGAGCACCCCTAGCACCCATATTTGTGGTCTCTTAATACGAATACCAGTCCTAACGGGAACAGGAGCTTCTTGGGGAAATGGCTAATGCCGGGTCTAAGGTAGGAAATACAGGCTGAAAACTTCCTAGAAAAGCAAGGAAGATACCAAAAACTTCTGGGTTTGTGTAAAAGGACTTGGGAGCCAACTTCAGTAGGCTCCCACTGGATAAAGTTGGGTTGGGTTGAGCTTCAGTAAGAGATACAACTTCAGTGTATTGAGACACGTCAAGTATGTTTGACTGTCTGAATTTATAATGTTACTTTAAAAAAGGAGAGAAAAAATTGAGTCCCTAACTTCTTCATCCTTCTCTGGTAATTAATAGTGAGATTCAGGGTAACAGTTACTGCAAAGAATTAGGCACAGTCCAGAAGGGAAGTGTGTTCCAGGCCAATAGCTGTGCCCTGCTCGTGGCCCGTTAAACAGCTGCTGTGAGGCCCTCTCCTGTCTTGCTTGTGTGTGTTGTCCATGTTAAAGGGAAGCTGTGGGGCTACTGTGTCTCCTTTCACTAGAAGGTTTTACGTGTGATTGGGGGTTCTTGTATCGTCTCTAAATTTTATTTTATTTTTATTTATTTATTTTTATAACATTGACTTTCCTTTTTTTATATATTTTATTTATTTATTTATTTATGGCTGCATCGGGTCTTAGTTGTGGCTCGCAGGATCTTCATTGCAGCATGCAGATCTTTCGTTGTGGCACGCGGGCTTCTCTCTCTCTAGTTGTGGCGTGCGGGTTTTCTCTCTAGTTGTGCGCGGGCTCCAGGGCGTGTGAGCTCTGCAGTTGTGGCACCGCAGCTTCAGAGCGCGTGGGCTCTGTAGTTTGTAGCACGCCGGCTCTCTACTTGAGGTGCCGTGGGCTTAGTTGCCCCGAGGCATGCGGGATTGTAGTTCCCCGACCAGGGATCGAACTCGCGTCCCCTGCATTGGAAGGCGGATTCTTTACCACTGGACCACCAGGGAAGTCCCTCTCTAAATTTTAAAATTATATAGGTAATGCATGCTTGTTGATAAAAACTATAAATACAGGATAATGTAGAATATTCCCTGTTCTTTGTCCTTATTTTTAGATGAGAGACAAGTTTCAGTTATTTTTTTTCAGGTCACTGTTTGTTAGCTGTGGATTAGAAGCTTGAACCAAGACACTTTTTTCAGGGTGGCTTGAGTAATCCTTGTTCTCTTTTTCTTTAGACAACCATGACGTCATTTCCCTGAAGTTGTTTGAGCTGACGGTGGAGAGAACCCCAGAAGAGGAGAAGCTGCATCGAGATGTGTTCCTGCCCTCGGTGGACAACATGAAACTGCCCGAGAGTGAGCACGGGGGATCCTGGGGAGAGGCCCCATGGCCAGTGAGGAGGTTGAGGGTTGTGGGGGTCTGGGGTGACATGCAGTACAGCTGGGCGGGGCTGCCTCTTTTCGGGGTTCTTCTCTGAAGCACTTGGAGCACTTGCCCCTGCTTTCTCACTTGTCTCCGTGTTACAGATGAGCAGACTGTGGGCTGTTTAGGTTTTAAATTGCGGCATCCGGAAAGGGAGAGTCTGAGCTCTAGCTCCCAGAAATGGGGACTCGATAGCTTGTTGGTTGGTCATTCCCACCGGGTGGGCTCCCTCATTCTGACTTGCTTCTCTCTTGCTTTCTTAGTGACAGCCCCGCTGCCGCCCCTGAGCGGCCTGGCCCTCTTTCTCATCGTCTTTTTCTCTTTGGTGTTTTCCGTATTTGCCATCGTCATTGGGCTCATACTCTACAACAAATGGCAGGACCAGAGCCGAAAGCGCTTCTATTGAGCCCTCCTGCGATCACGACCTCTGTGACTGTCACCCAGGAGTATGGGAGGAGCAGGCACCGGCCTGAGCACATAGCCAGGCGGGTCTTCTCTCGTCTCCAGCAGCTGGTCAAGGACTCGGTTCTGTCACTGGAGCTTTGCGTGCAGGGATGCTGCGTTCCCATGGTCACCCATGAGGACGTCTAACTCTGGATCAGGAAGCCCACCCCCCCGGGCAACGCTGCTGTGATGTGCCTTTCCCCGCAGTCCTGCCACTTGGGAGCGAAGAGGGATGGAGAGAACATAGGCTGTCATGATGCCAAAACCACCGGAAAGAGTGTCATAGCCCAGGCTGCCTTGTTGTTGGGCTCAGAGGACCCTCGTACTTCATTCTTAAATCTGCAAAGACTAGAAAACTGATAACTCCTCATACCTTCCAGCCATCTGTCCACTGGTTTTTGCTTTTTGTCTAAGCCTCTCTCCACCTGAGGAGCTTTCCTTGGAAATCTGGATGGAAACTTCTTCCCTGCCTTGCCTTCCTCCCCTCCATTCATTGTCCTCTGCAGATGCAACCTGAGCTGGAAAAGACATCTGGCTGCCTCTCTCTTGGGGCCTGGGGCTGCACGACAAACTTGAGTTTCACTGACCCTCATTAGGTGGCTGTAGGGAGGGGGCATTCTGCTGGGGCTCACTGCTCTAGCCTTTGTTCTTGCAGGTGAATCTTGGTTCTGTTGGTGTGTTCATGACCCTCCCAATTAGGTCCCTTTAGGCCCTCAGCCAGGTTTGTTTGAAAGCTGGTGTGCAGGTCAAGAGAAGCTTGGGAGACGTCACGGATGCAGTGGGATTAACTGAAACTGACTGCTCCACGTTTTGACACCGAAAGCAACACCTGTCACATGATCTGACCACGTGGAGATGTTTCTGGACTCTCTGGAGCCTGCTTAGCTGCATGTCTTGTGTTCATCATAATTTTTGGAATCCTACTTAGAGTGTTCAAAATGTAAGGAAACTTTGTTCTTATAGCCTGAGCTTGGATACTCCCCAAAGAGGAAACCTGGCTTCTCTTTCTTAATGGATAAGGAATGGTTGTTGTAAATCTGGAAGCAGTAGACCCCCGGCATCTGTGCCTGGAAGAGTTCATTGTCATTTGAGCAGCCGAGCCTGAGTGTCCTCTGTGGGTCAGCCCTGATTCCACTGCCTTACCTGATGAGGGGTCACGTGCTGCTCACCTGTCTGCCCTGTGATTCCATTGCTAACAGGCTGGAGGCTCCCTGGAGGGCTTGGACTCTGAGCTCTCCTAGCCCTGTGCTTCTGTAGCCTGAGGGAAAGTCTTAACATGGCTGATGGAAACCAAACATGAACTTCTGAGTGGCCTTCCTTTTACAGGTGGGTTTGGCTGAGCCGTAAGCCATCCACCCTTGCCCTGCCTTCTGGGTTGGGAAAGCCCTCTGCTCAGCCCTGAAGGAAAGGAGGGTTACCTTGCCTGGCTGTGGGTTTCTGTTGTCTTCAGCTTTCTCGTATCCTTCCCACAGGCGGTAGTGCTCTCGTGCAGGTGGGATGACAGTGGGACCCTCCTGACCTCCCCCCATGGCAGAGCGGCTCCAGAGTGACAGAGGGTCAGCCGGGGCCCTGGGCTTGGCTTTCGGACCAGGTGGAACTGAGAAAGCAAATGGCTGTTCTGTGTTTTTGAGTTCCAGGGGAGATTGGCTAGACCCCTGTAGTGGGAGGACGCCGGTGGGCTCGTGAGCTGGCCTGGGCAGGGGTGCAGGAGGGGCAGCTCAGCATGGAGATCGTCACACTTGTGGCTTTTGTGTGATTCTAGCTCATGAGGTCCTTGAGGCTCTGTGAAGAGGGCGGGGAAGACGTGAAATGCAGTCCCCCCACCCGGGCCAGCCTCAGAGCAGTGTGTGGTGCAAGGAAACAATCTGACTAGCATGGTAGGTTCTGCCCTGGCTCTCCCCTTTTGTTCTAGAAACATGCTTCCCGTCATGAGTGGGGCCAAAGGTCGTTCTGGGAGCTGGAGTCCCAGCTGTGTCCCAGAGGAGGGGGCCGCCTGCTCACGTGAGGGGTGAGAGTGGTGGCCTCGGCCGGCTGCTTACCCCACGTGAGCCACCTTTCCTCACAGGTGCCCTTCCTTGCCTTCTGTTTTCCTGTGACGTCAGGGCCTCTTAGAGTGGAAGAGTCCCTGGAGACTCGAGGAGGTGCGTAAGGGTGACATCATTCCCCATCCTTGTGAGTCTTGTCTGAGAGCCTGGCGTTTTCAGCCTTTCATGGTGTTGTGAACCCCCCCCCCCCACAAATTACAGGGTGGCTCCGTTACAAAAGTTGTTTATTTCAGTGGAAAATTACAACTCTGCCCTTCTTGTTGGAAGTGGTCTGAACAGAATGGTCAAAATATCCCTAGACCCCGGAAACAAGGAACTGGTAGGAAGCCCAAGGGTAGTGCTGTGGATGGGCAGGAGAGAAGCCTGGCAGACACGGGGGGGATTAGTCTGGCGGGGCTGGAAGTTCTGGGAAGATAGCTCACAGGTGATTTATGTGTCCCTGGAGGAGTTTCAGCTTCTGGCCTGTTGTAGATTTCAGGTTCTGATGGGAGTGGCGAGGTTGGAAGGGTTGGCGTTGCTGGTGTTTAGTGAATTGATGATTTTGGCATATATTTGAATGGGAGCGTTCAGCCGAAGTTCAGGCTTGACCCAGCTCATGGCCAAATAGTTCTAGAGAGAATAGGTAAGAGTTAGCCTGAAGTAGCAACCTGAGGGCTCTCTCTTGGGTCATCCCGAGAGCAGCTGTGCCTTTTCCCCTGTCTCCACGGTTGTCACTCACCGGAGCTGAATAGATAAAGTTGAACAGCAGAAGCCCTATAAGCAGGATGATTGAGATGGCTATGAATTTGAAGCGGTAGCGTTTCCAGAAAACATGGATGAACCTTGTAATGGGTGACCGAAACCACATGAGCAAGGTATGGGTGCGTCTGTCCAGGAGCAGAGATGGCAGAGAATGGAGGGCAGAAGGAAACTTCAGGTCAAGCAATCCAGAGCAGAGGTCTTTCATTTTAAAAAAGCAACTTCTGCTTCTGCCCTCCCCCCCTCCCCAGCTGTTCTCCCCGATTGAGCCAGAGTGGGGAGGTAGGGGGGGTAATTATCCCTCTTTACTTGTCAGCCTCCTTCCCTGGTCACCACCCCATACAGACTGCTAGGCCCAGCAGCTCAGCTTTGTGAACGAGGAAGAGGCTTGGTGCCTTTGCCCTGCAGGACCCTTACAGGGGAGGATGGAGTGTAGGGTATTGGTTGGGTTCCGACTGGCCTCTTCCTGCTGCCTTGATTAAGGCTTCCTTCTCTGTCAAAATCTCCAGGGTCATCTTCACTTTACCCTAGAAACACCATGGGTGGTGGGAGCTGAGCTCAGACGGCAGGAGCAAGGATAGTTTTAAAGGCCTCTTCCCAGGGTCCAGAAAGGGATTTAACTCAGGCCCCCAGGGTCTGTCAGAGCCAAGTTACGCGGCACAGTAGTCAGCCCTGTTCCTAGGCAATAGGCACCTTCCCCAGCTCCTACCGACAAGCGCCATTTGCCGCCATCGAGGACCTGGCAAGGCCACCAGCCGCTTACAGTCTTCATCTTAAAGAGGGAGCAGTGCTTGTACTGGAGGAAGTGAGGCCACTTGGGGTCAGCATCCATCATCCTGATGGAGCATAGCTTGGCGCGCCGGGCCGGGAGGGGCATGTCAGACAAATCCAGCTCTAGGACCCCTGAGCCCAGAGAAATGCCATCAGCAAAAAGGAGCTCCCTGTCCTGTGGTCACGGGCCCTGTGCCAGGATCTCACCTAGGAAGTCATCCGCGGAGATGATGTTATTGTCCCAGATCTGGATGATGAGCCGGGCTGGGAACTTCATCACCGTGGGGTCCAGGCTCCATATGTAGTCCTGGAGGATGGCAGGAGAGCGTATTTCCGGCCTGTCTCCTCTGAGAGTTCCTTTGGCCACTTAGCAGCCCATCACCCAGCAGTGATGGACCATTGAGGAGGAGGAGAAAGTCGGGGAGGGGGAGGGGGGAGCGGGGAGTGCTTCCACCCAAGGCCACATTCCAAGTGTCTTGGTGCAGCTCGCAGGCTCTGAGGGGAGGGGGAGGAGTGCATCCCGCTCCTGGGCCTGTTACCTTCTGACTCAAGACGCACGCTTGCTCTGCTGCCAGGTAGTCCAAGGTGAAGATGAACCGCCAATTGAAGATGCCCTCCCCCGTCAGGGAGTGGTAGTGGACATCTGTCTTCTGCATGTCCTTCTCCAGCCCAAATAACCACCTGGGGCCAAAGTCCACTCACCTGGGGTTCACTTGGATTGTCCCCACCCCTGGCTGGAGCCCTGGGAGGAGGGCTGCCCAGTAGACGCCAGGCATGGGTGGAAATGGAGAGAGAACTGGGCAAGTCTGAGGGCACTCTGACGGAGCCCCGCTCCTCTCCCTCACCCTTTGACATAGACGTCGCTCATCCTCTCGGTACTTAAACTGTTCTCCTTCAGGTCCATGTGGGCAGTTTTCCAGATGATGCAGCGCAGCTCATACCTGTAGCCACCGTTCTCTGAGGCTTTGCTGAGGAATAGCTCCCCAGCTGCAACCTCGGTGAGGGAAGAGAGGCCTGGGGGGCTGCCCTCCGTGCCCACCCAAGTCATGCTGCGTTCGGGGGGCCACAGGGAAAGAAGGCTCCCCAGACTCCCAACAGAGGAAAAGAATCACCGTGACTCGGTGTTGGAGCCCACTGGTGCTCCGCACGCTGGGAAGGCCACACTTGAGTGGTGCAGTTGCTCAGGAGATGGGTGTCACTCACCTTCTAGGCTTTCTGGGCCTAATGTTGAATGGGGGGCCAGGAGGCCCAAGCTTCTTGGGGAAGATGTCCACCCACATTTGCACCTTTCCCTAGAGTGGAGATGGATTAGCTGGCTGGGGTTGGCCAGCCCCCGTTCTCCGCATCCTGGTCTGGGGGGGGGGGGGCTGTCTCAGCTTCTAGGTCTGCTGAGGCTGTGTTTCCAACACCGAGTGGTGGGGTATCGAGGCATCTGGGAGGTGGGATGGACTTCAGACCGGAAGTCAGCACACCGCCCATCAGCTTCCACTTGTTTCTTTTTTTGGCTGGGAGAATAGCGCAGTAAGGCTGGGAGCACACGATGGCTACGAGGCTGATGGCTGTGGCGCACGGATGTCAAGTGTAACTGGGGTCTGGAGGGTTGATGCCATTTAACAGGTCCTGCTGGACAGCCTCTCTGGATGGGGCTCCAGAATGGGATTGGGGCTGCAATTGTTAGCCACCTTAGTGGCCCTGAGTAAGAGTAAACTAGGTGATCTCCAGGTCATTATGTTGTGGAACCACATCCTAAGGATGTCAAGCTATCCACAAAGCACAGGGGTCTAGGAAAGAAGGGTTGAACCTGGTAAGAAAAGGGGAGACAAAAGAGTTAAGAAGGTAGAACTACCAACAGTGGAAGATAGATTCCTTTAAACCATGTGACCTAGGTTTATTCTTTTGAAATTGGCCCCATTTAATGAGAAAACAGGTTTAATGAGGGTGGTTTTAAAAAGTGCTCAGTAGAGAACTTTGTATCTAGAATGTGCTATCAGCTTGAGAGATTTGGAGAATGAGGTGAGCCATTCTGGTGGCTGGAGGGTAGGGGATAATTAGGGTGCCTGTGGGGATTTTTATTCCTCCTGTTTGGGGTTCCTTGCCGTGGAGAAAACACAGCCTGCACTTAACAGCCAAGCCGGGGCTGTGATGCCTGCACTCTGACCCCAGGTGCTGCCTCCTTACCCTCCCTCAGGAGAGACTAAGGCAGTGCTGGCGCCAGCGGGGAAGGCCCCGAAACACTTCCACAGCTGACACGGGGCCTCGGTTTCTTGTTGGTGACTTTTCCAGCTCTGAACTTCTCCATTCTAAGAGACACCACTGCGACTTCTTGCTTAGTAACATGCACAGAACGTGCTTGTCTTCTTTTCACGTACATCTGTGGGTGCCCGGCCTCTCCTTCCCCTCTTGTCCTGGATGGGTGGGCTCCCCCACCTCCTGATCCAGCCCCTCCAGTCTCATACCTGGTCGATGCCCGGCTGGCTGTCGCTGTACAGCGTGCGGGTCTCCATGTGCTCAGGTACCAGTCCCTGGGTGTGCAGGAGGTACAGCGCAAGGCGTTCTTTCTTAGATCCCAAAAAGCGAGCAGTAGGGGGCTTCAGCTCTAGATTGGAGGGGGATGGAAGGAGGGGATCACGAGGTCATTAGCCTTCCCGTCTCCCACGTAGGCCCCTTCTCCACCCTCAGCCTGGGCAGTGGACTTGGTTATCCATTACAGGCGAGAAGGGGAGGCGGGGTGCCCTCTGGCAGCTCCTCCATCCTGTAGCCCCACTTGTCGCAGAGGCCCAGCTCTGTGCTTTCTGGCGGTGTGCTGTTCTTCTCACCAAAGCTTTGCAGTCTGAATTTTTTCCCATTGTAAAACGCAGAGTCATCCTCAGGGCTGAACAGAGGCGGAGGCAGTCCTTTCTGCCTGGCATGGTGTTCCAAGAGCAGGCTTGGGGGCATCTGATCCCGCCACCTAAAGGGCCCTGACCTGTGGGGAAAAGGTGGGGAGGTCTGAGTCCTGGAGAAGCCTCTGCTTCGAGCTGCAGGCTGACCAGTGCTGGGAGCAGGGGTGCAGACAGGTACGGGCCCTGGTTCCCCAGCCTGGGATGCAGGCGTCTTCGAGGGGAGCCGTGGGCTTACTCTTCCACCACCACCCCCCACCCCGTGCTCCCTTGCCCTGGTTCAGGTCCACGCTTACTGGCAGTAAGATTTGGAGAGCCCACAACGAGCTCCAAAGCCAGACAGGAGTCGGTTTTCAAGGTCAATGACTGTGGTTCCAATCTTATCATCGGGTGAAAATAGGTCAAAGTCATACAGCTGGATCTCTAGGTCCTTCTCCAGGGGGATGGTGCAGCTCATTTCAAACATCCTTGGGTGAGGGTGTTGGAGACACAGAGACCGAGAACCATGTTATCTACACAGCTCCCTCTCCAGCATCCCAACCACACGTGCCCGTGCTCTACCCCCGGTTTGGCCCTGGTGAATTTGGAGAGCAGAGCCTGGGATGGCTCTTGTCCGCCAATAGCCATCCCTCAGTCGTGGCTGGGAGTAACTTTTGACAGGCCTGGGGTGTGGGACTCTGAGCTCCCTTCCCAGGCAAAGTGGTTGAGGGGGGAGGGGAGAGCTGGGCTGCCCATCAATGCATCTTCCATGTGTTGGACACTGTGCTAGGAACGTGGAGACTAGAAAGGAACGTGAGAGTTCTCTGCCTTCTAGAACTGCTCCCGGCACAGGGAGCGGGGTTGTGGGGTCGGGTGCGTTGGGGCATCTCACACGCCAAAGATGGGGTCCAGAGTGTTGGGCTGGTACTTGTCCCGGTTGCCAAGCTTTGTCTCTCCCAGTTTCAGGATCACATAAGGGTCACACTGGGGTTCAGATAGACGTGAGAGAAGGACAGAAAATGCAGAGTCAGCCCAGGTTGGTCAGGGAGGGCGGGAGTGGGGCAGAAAGGAGCCCCTTGTACCAGGTGGGGCCTGTGGGAAGTTGGCAGTCTGGGTGTCAGTCAGCCTGAGGGAGCTCCGGGATGCTGGGGTGTAGGGTGAGGTGAGGGGGGTGCCCGGGCTGGGGGGCTGGGGAAGACGAGCGCTGCAGTTCAGGGCTGCTCGTTACCAGGCCGTTGGTGTCTTGGGGCTGCAGGTTGGCTGCTCGCACCACGTACACCCGCACCAAGCACTGCTGAGGGAAGTCCTCTTTCTTAGGCCAAGGCAGGAACTGGCGAGGGGGCTTGGGGGTGTCTGGATTCTCAGGAAAGGGGTAGACACGGAATTGGCCCTGTGTGTGTGTTGGGGAGGGAAGGTATTGGCCTCTGGCCTGGCTCTGTAGAGCCCTCCAGGAGGTACCCCTGGTCTGTGTTGAGGGTGGCAGGGACGAAACCCGTGAGGACGGGTAGGGGCACGTGCCGCAGAGATGCTCTACGGGGACCACGGTGGTGTTTTCCGCTGAAGGGAGGTCTCGTTCCACCCCCACCCATCCCTTGGGGTCCGCACTTGTTTTCGAAGGCTCTAGGGCCTCCGAGAGCAGCACAGGCCCGAGCTGGGACTGAGAAGCCCTCGCCCTTCCTGTGTTGGGGGAGGCCACCCTGAGTCCCTGCAGAGGTCAGTCTCTGCCCCCCACTCCCAAGACTGTCAAGCCCTCCGTGCCCCATCCTCATGCCGAGCGTATAGAACCAGTGCTCCTGTCAGAGTCTTCCCTGGACAGAAGGGGCACGAGGTGACAGGTGCAGCTAGGCAGGGCTGGGACACGCACCTTGAACTCCCCTACCACAGGGCTGTCCAGCTTGGGCCATTCTTGGTAGAGTCTGAAGGTCTGGCAGAAGTCCTGCAGGCCCTGGAAGGCTGGCACGGCCTCCAGCTCGCAGTCGTATACCTGTGGGAGGGCGTGTGGGACCCGGCTGGCGAGGGGAGCTGGCCAGGGCTTGAGGGGACCATTTCTAGGATCAGGGGGTTGAGGGGCCACCCAGGTCTCGCCCCAGAGCATCTGCCCTGGGGTCAGCAGAGCTGCTGCTGGTGGGCAGCCCTGGTTCCTGAAAGGGTGTGGCCTGTGGCGGTGTGGCCCGGAGTCTTGTGAAAAGGAAGCCACCCCCCGACTTGGTGGTTCCCCAAGGACTCGGGGCTGGGTTTGTTGGCCTCTCCCCGCAGATTTTCTCCATCCTTCATCAGTCTCCCCTCGTAGGGGCCTGCAAACCTTCAGGGTGTGATACTCTTTGTACTTGTACTTTAGGGACAGGGGAGCATCTCCTGTGGCCCAGAACAGCTTGCTCCACCAGTCCACTTCCTGGTCGTGTTCATCCTGGCAGTGAGGAGGAGGGGCATTTTGGCCCTCGGGGAGAAGGCACAGTGGCCTTCCTCTGCCCAGAGTCATGCTGCCCCACCTCCCTGAGCTGCCTGGACTTGTTCCTTATTCCCCGGGGCTGAGCCTACATCACCTCAGCGTTGCTGGACTTGAACCAGAACTTTTCATAAAGGTAACCTAGGAGCTGAAAAATGATTGCGGTGAGCTAGGCAAGGCCTGGCCGCCCGGTCCGCCCACCACCTCTGACTTCCAAGCTCAGAAGGGGTTCGAGGCCACGGCTTTCTGCCCTGGCTCCCTTGCCCTTCACAGAGGCTTTTTAATTCAGGGATCCTCAGACATAGGACTGGGGCCGAGAAGGAGGGTCAGGTTAGTTCTCGGTTCTCATTGCCCACAGCTCCACACTTAACTCTGGAAAGGCTCAGAAGTTCAGAGCCTCAGGCCCCACCCTAGGCCTCCTGAAGCTGAATCTGCTTTTGCTCCAGATGCCAAAGGATTCCTGTGCATTCGAGGTTGACAGGTGCTGCTCTAGAGCAGCAGCTCTGAACTTTGGAAACACTGGAATCACCTGGAGCGGGGGTGGGGCGTAGGTGGTTTGGGCTTGAATAAAATAATTGCTGCTTCTGGTTCCTACCCCCAGCAACTGGTCAGAAACCATTTGGGGGCCAGGCGGGCTGTGCAGCACGTGGGGTCTTAGCTCCCCGGCCAGGGATCGAACCCATCCCCCCTGCAGTGGAAGCGCGGAGTCCTAACTACTGGACCGCCAGGGAAGTCCCTCAGGGTTTTTAAAACTCTCGGGCATTTCTAATGTGCAGTCCAGGTTGAGATCACTGCTTTCAAGTTCTCGTGAACAAGTAGGCCTCACGCTGGGGGCGTGGATATCGGAACTCTGTTTAATCTGTACCCTCCTCAGGCACAAGGGCTGTTTCCTCTAAATGGCACGGGGCCTCCAGCCCTTTACTCACCTCCTGGTACTTCTTCACAGACAGCACTGCGTGGAGAAAGCGTAGTCATGAGTCTCAGGAGAAGGGAGAAGTGGGGGGGAGGGCCACCAACCCGGCAGGACAGCCAGGGCCTTGGCCACTCCCAGTGCCAGCTTGTTGGTGAGGTCTGGGGAGGGGCAAGGAGAAAGGGCCGTACTTGGAGGCCGTGGGGGCATGTAGTCCTCAGCCCAGGGGTCACAGAAGTAGGGCTGCAGGGAGTCAACGTTGGCCTGACCCACCACGGTCTCCTGGCCGAAGTCCTGGTTGTCCACCACCTTCAGCACCAGGGGCAGCGCGAAGGCCTCATCCGTAGGCATGTACTGCAGCCCCAAGGAGAGGCCAGGGTGTGAGGCTTCCCACGAGCCGGGGCTGCCCCAGCCCTGGCCCAAGGCCTTCTCACCAGCGTGAGGAAGAGGGTTGACTGGGTGAAGTTGGGATTGGTCTGGAAGTCCCTGATGGGCTCTGTCTGCACGGACTCTTCCCAGCATTCCACCAGGAGCCGGGGCGAATGCACCTGCTTCATGTTCCGAAGGCCCCAGACCAGCATCTGCCGGAACAGAGAGGGAGGGTGGGGGAAGGGGCAGGTGGCCCCTCTGTTGGGGTCCTGGCCTGGGAGCAGTGGGGCCCCAGGGGGCCTGCAGGGCCAGGGCACGAGGCTGGGTGAAGGCAGAGCCTGAAGGCTCACCCAGTCCTGTCCTGTGAGGGATGAGTCCTCCAGGCCTGGACGCTGCCGTCGTTCCTCCACGAGGGAGGTGCCCATTAGGTATTGCCCTTCCTCCCCTGCTGCCCATCTGGCCTCTAATCATCTCTCTCAGGGGTGACTTCCTGCTGCCGGCTGCCTCCCAGGCCCGCAGCAGCTGGAGTGCCCCGGGGTTCTTGGGCACCTCGGTGCCGTCCAGCTCGTGGCTGACTTGGATCCCACAGAACTCCACGGCCAGTCAGCGAGCCAGCACCCTGGGATCTCACTCTCAACGGACAAACACTGGGTGCCCCAGGAGCTGTCCACGCCCTACTCATTGGGCCGCCTCAGGGCCAGAGTGGAAACCAGCCAGGTGGTCTGATCTTGGCTCCAGTGCCGGGAGGACCTGACCATCTTCCGCTCTTTGCCGCAAGGCACATAGGTTCTGACCTGGGCGCCTCCATACTACTTTCAGAAGAGGTGAGAAACATCCTGGCATTTGGAGTCAGGCAGGGCCAGGCCTAAACTCTGGCGCTGCCACTGAGCCCCTGTGTCACTGTGCGTGGATGTGTTGTTTCTCAGAGCCTGAATTTCCGTCTCTGGAAGGTCGTCCCTACTTTTTGCACAAGGGCCTCATGAGGCTTACATCCGGTAGGTAATGGATGCTAAAGCCCTTTGTCTACGACCCACTACAGAGGTTTGCATTAAAATACTTTTAAATGTTCTATCAGAACTTCATTTCTCTCCTGTCTCCCTCCATCTCTCACATGGTATCTTCTCGGGGTCCAAGCTTTGGAGCAGGTAGGCAGAAGGCCCAAGAGGGTCAGCAGAGAGCGCACCGTGGTGCTCGACTGCTCTGGGGGTGGCTTGTGCCCTGCCCACCCACCCTGCTCCACGTTTCATCACCTCAATAGCCATTTTCCTTAGCGTGGGCTGGATGCTCTTGGGGAGGATGTAGATCCCACTCTTCCAGGGAACACTTAAGATTGGCAGCTGCTGTCTGAGACTCTGAAGGGATGAGGTTGGAGAGCAGGGAACCTGAGGCCCTGTTGGGCTGGGCCTACTGTCCCCCACCCCCCACCACACACACAAGCAGGACCCTAAGAGGCTCAACTGCGGCGGCCCTGGAGCCCTATGGGCAGAAGCTGGCAGGGGAGTTAGGGAGAGGTTGGGCAGGCCGGCACCTCCCAGCCCAGTGTTCTGGTTCCCGGGCCCCAGGACTTTGCTGAGGGGCTGCGGTTGGGGGCCGCTGGCTGTGGGGACATGTGGCAGGGGAGTGGGGTAGGGTGAGGGCACTGGCACCACACTCCCAGCGGGTCCCTCTCTCCCAGCACCTCAGTCTCGAGGATCAGCTCACAGGATGCCAAGATCTCGCCCTCTTCCTCCTCCAACCCTTTTACAAGGGGGTGCCACCTCATGGGGGGCAGGATCCGTTTTTGGACATCCAGCCAGACCACCGGTGACCACATACTCCGTCCCCACAAGCTCTCATTGCCCTGGAGGGAAGGGGAAGTTCACAAAACATGGAGGCCAGGCTGGCAGGGGTCTGGCTCCTCCTGGGATTCTGACAACTCTAGGATCAATGCGATGTGCTCTGCGAATCAGGTCCCGCTGGAGCACTTTCCGAATATTCTCCTCTAAAATAAAAGCTCCTGGGCTTCCCTGGTGGCGCAGTGGTTGAGAGTCCGCCTGCCGATGCAGGGGACACGGGTTTGTGCCTCAGTCCGGGAGGATCCCACGTGCGGCGGAGGGGCTGGGCCCGTGAGCCATGGCCGCTGAGCCTGCGCGTCCGGAGCCTGTGCTCCGCAACGGGAGAGGCCACAACAGTGAGAGGCCCACATACCGCAAAAAAATAAAATAAAACAAAAGCTCCTCACGGAATTCCCTGGCGGTCCAGTGGTTAGGACTCCGCGCTTCCACTGCAGTGGGCACAGGTTCAATCCCTGGTCTGGGAACTAAGATCCGGCATGCCGCGTGGCACGGCCAAAAAAATACATTAAAAACTTCTCAGAGCTCTGCCCAGCCCAGCCCACCTTACCTGGGGGTCCCGCTGCCACAGTTCCAACACCACGAGTGGTGGGCTCTCTTTGGTGTCCTGGGGGTTCTCGTACAGGAGGAGGTGCTGGAAGATGAGCGTCTGGGCCCACGTAGGGGCTGCAGAGCTCTTCAGGGTTTGGGTACACTGGCTGTGGTTCAAGAAGACCAACCGAATGAAGGGCGCTGTGGGTGGAAGGAGAGCCGTGCCTTTGAGCTGCCGAGTGAGGCTCTCCCCTCTTCTGGCTGCTGCCGCCACCGGACCGGGTACCCGGGGAGGCTCAGGCCAGACAGCCACAGCCACTCCAGCTCCCCAGAAGGCCACCTCAGAGTAAGCCACAGAGCACATGGGCTTATAGCTAGAGGCCCCTTATACCATCATGGTTGGGGCCTAGCCGTCACAGATGCAGAGGGCCCGGTGGCTCCTCTGGAGGGTTCTGGGGACCAGGCTACACGTGGCTGCCCTTGCACAGCGTCAGCAAGTGGCCTTGGCATCAAGGAACGTCACACGGCCCTCTTGACGAGGGTGCTGATGTCCAGTGGACACAGCTCCCAGCAGACATCCACTGCCCCGGCTCAGACCCTCGTCCAACAGCCTGGCTCCCAACAAACAGGGCCACTGCCAGCCCAGGGCAGGAGCACGTGACTCACCTGAAACCTCCCATGGGGCCTCCACACAGGGCTAGAGATTGCCACCCCTCCTCCCCACCCCTCATCTTCTGTGCAGCACAAGGGACAAGTGGTTCCCAAGCATGTCATCCTCTCTCTCGCCTTTGTGTCTCATCCCCGCTCTTCCTTGTCAAGGCCCAGCAAACTCCTCCTTCCACTTCAAGGCTCAGCTAAGTGGCCTCCAGTGGGATGAAGCCTCCCTGTCTTGATTCCACAGTGTTGGGGACACACCGCAAGAGCGGTCCTGCCTTGTATTCCTCGTTCTTTTGTCTTTTCCCCAAACCAGGGCCATGAGCTGCTGGGGGCAGGGGTCTGCATGTGTGTCACCCCCTCCTCGCCACATCCTTTATACTGCTGGGTGGCCACATGGAGGGGCTGGGGGAGAAGAGGTGCCCACGCCTACCCTGGAATGTCTGGATGTGGTTGGACATCAGGTTCCGGGCCTGGTAGATGTAGCAGAAGAGCTGGTAGTAGTGGGGCTCTGGGTAAGAGAGGAGCTGTGTCCGCCACCCACCCCCAGGATCCCCACCCCATGCCCCCTGCTCCCTGCCCTCAGGTGCTGGGTGTCTCCGGGGCCACCCAAGCCGACTCTCAATTGAATGCTCACTGTTGAAGATGCAGTAGATGAAGGGCAGGTTGGGTGGCTGGGTGATCTCTGGGGGAGCCCTCCAGGAGCTCCTGATTCTGTCCAGTCTCTGTGTCGACGACACCATGTCCGCTTCCTTCTTAGCTTGCTGTTTCGTATCTAGACTCTGTGCCCAGGACAGACTCCCTGAGACTCATAGGTGCCTTTCCTGCCTCCCTCAGCCCAGGCCCAGGTCACCCTTCTCCCCATCCAAAGCCTGAGGATGTGGCTCCGGGGCCCAGGTCCCCCCACCTGCAGTGGTCAGTGCATCTGGCCACATGGGGCATCTCCGTCTGCCTGGCGCACCAGGGGGCCCTGGCTCCGGAGGTGGGGTTGCAGGGAAGAGACACCTAGCCCACTGGGGCTTTACCAAGGATCCCTCCAGGAGGAATATGGGTGCAATGCCCTTGACCTTGTTGGGGGCCAGCCTGCGGTGCCAGCGGCGGCGGCGGAACTGGCTCTGGGGCTGAGGGTTCAGGTGGAACTTGGAGCCGAAGACACCGTACTCCCAGCCTTCCTCGTCCTCAGCCAGGCTGGGGTGGTGCTGTGGGGAGAGCAGAGTCACCCTCTCACCTGGCCAAGGGTGGGTGTCATCCATGGTCCCGCCAGGTCCCTGACCAGGCGGCCCCTCACCAGCTGCAGGAAAGACAGGGTCTCCTGCTCGTGGCTCAGCCTCCCGTGGTCCCGGTAGCGCACGCGCGCCCAGCGCCGGCGGCGGCAGGAGTAGTAGGTCTTCTCCACCGAGTTCCAGACCTGGGGCAGCCCCGAGGGCGGGATGCCCACTCCGTACTCCCAGCCTGAGGGACCAGGACACAGCCCGTGGGTGCCCAGGGGCCCACAGGCTCGGGGGCTCGGACAGGCCTGAGAGATAAGCCTCGGAAGGGCAGGCCGAGGGGGCAGTGCTGTCCCTCACGTCCAGGTCTCTCCGGCCACAAAGGAAGGTATGGTCACACTGCGTCACCCGGTGGCCTGGGCTCAACTGCCCATCTTACAGAGAAGGAAGGTGAGGCTCACAGGCGTCCTGGGACCCACACAGGGTCACACAGCCCGAAGTAGCAGAGGCTGCATCTTGAGCCCAGGTCTTCCGACTCCCAGCCCACCGCCCCTTCCCTGGAGCCACCTGGGGTGAACTAGGCTCTGGACGCGACCCCAGTTCACGTGCTCGGAAGGCGCTTAGCACCTGCCCTGTCTCAAAGCTGGGGCCCACGTCTGTGGCAAGGGTGGAGGCCCTGCTCTCCAGAGACTGAGACCCCCAGGAACGCAGGCCTGCCCCATCTGACAGCCTGGCTACTTTCAGTTCCAGGCCCTGCCACCCTTAGCCGCTGCCCAGAGGACTGACCTTCACTGTCCACTGCGTGGTTCAGCTCCACAGCCCAGTTCTTCTTCGCGTGCCAGCCTTGGGGGCACTTCACATTCTCCCGGGCCTCCACGGGTTCTCCGTTCTGTGGGTGCACAGAGAGGGCGGGCCAAGGGGCGTGTTGCTCGCCTACTGCAGCCATCGTGGCCTCCAGCCTCCTGGGGCTCCTTAAATTTAAGTTCGTTAAAAGTGAAACAAAATTCGGGAATTCCCCTGTGGTCCAGTGGTTAGGGCTCCGCGCTTCCGTGGCTGGAGGCCCAGGTTCGATCCCTGGTCGGGGAACTAAGATCCCGCGTGCCGCGCGGTGCAGCCAGAAAAAAAGAAACAAAATTTAAAGTTCAGTTCCTTACTGAACTTTGAATTCTGGGTAAAAGCGCCACCTTCGAAAGGGGGAAGGAAAAGTGCCCACTCTGTCGTTCTTCCAGTCCCATTTAGGGGACCTCTCCCCACCACCTTGGGATACAAACCCCATCAGCGCTCACCCAAGGTCACACCAGGGAGCAGGACTCAGTTGGCAACGCCTGATCCAGTGCTCTTTCCACTCAGACACCCTAGCTTCCAAGGCGCCCCCCTGGTTGAATCACTTTCCCCCCCGCGCCCCCTGCTCACCACGTCTGTGTTGGGGATGGCGGCAGGCACCCAGGCCCCCGTGGTGTCCCGGCGCTGGTTCTCATACACCTCCTCAAGCACCTGGCTCTTGTTGATGTCTGTGTCCAGGAGGAGCCTGGGGGCAGTGAGACCCCGAGTTCCCAGCATATCTCCCTGAGCTTACAGGCCCCTGGGGTCCTCCTCTTTTGGCTGAGCGCTGCCGTACCTGGCAGCCCCACCTACTCTGGGAAAGGCTGGGCAGCGGGGCCTGGCATGCAGGGTAGGGTGGCGGGCAGGTCCCCCTGTCCTATGCACCCCAGCACCCGGGACCAGGCTGCAGTGGCTGTGTGCCCGCCTCTCTGGGCTGCTGCCTACTGGCCCTCCTGGGTAAAAAGAAGTGTCAGCTCCACTGCTGCCTGTCCAGGGGCACACAGGCTCCGGGTCCCACATCCCAGCCTTACCTCCGCTGAGGTTCAACTGTCCATGACCCCTGCCAGTGCCATCCATGGGGCTCCTTGAAATCTTCCTTGGGGAGGGCTTTGTGCCCCGTGACGTCCGAGAAGCTGGGGCAGTGCTGCAGCCACTGCTGTCCCCACTGGTCCTTATACTTGGCCTGATTCTCATACTGGGGGAGGGGAGTCCATCAGTGCCTGCTGCCACCCCCAGCATACCCAGCACCGGCCCTAGGCCACCCACTCTGGGCTGTAAGCACCTCCCAGAAATGTGGTAGTCAGGCAGAGGGCCATGTGGCACCTGCCCGGGGGCAGGAGCTGCGTTGTCGCTTGTAGTGGGACGGCACCGCCCCCGCTGTCAATCGGCACAGGCAGCTGCCACTCGTCAAGTGCTCACTGTGGCTGGGCCCATGCCAAGGGCATTACATGAACTAACAACCCCTTTCAGCTGCACACTCCCATTTCACAGGTGAGGAGACTGAGGCTCAAAGGTCACCTCTACCCCAGGCGGCTCAGCTCTCGAGGAGTGGAGTGGGGTGGATGCCTGTGTTAGAGCCTGGTGGTGCCTGGGGTGTGACCTGTCCACCCCGTGTCACTGCTGACCCTGGGGAACCTGGTCCTGCTCCACCACTGCCCTGTCTTTGCTGCCTCTGGACCTTTCTTCCACATTCCCCTTCTGGGCACGCACTCATCCTAAATCCCTCTCTGTCTCAGCACCTCCAAGTTCTACAATCTATCCACAACATGCAACTTAGGAACCATGAAAATGTTTTGACCAAGTAAGTTAAAAAGCCCAAAACTCAAAACTTATTTCTCTTCTGTTCTCAGGACCTTCTCCTGAGCCATGTCCTCCCCTCCTCTGATTACAGAGCGGCCTCTGGCCGGCTGCTCACACACCTCCTAGGTTTACGGTTCTACGGGAACACGCCTCATTTCCGGCCCCTCTGACTGTCCCAGGCCTCCCCCTCCCCGGGATCACCAGGCTGGCCTGCAGGACCCAGCTGGGGTCGGCAGGGGTCCCGGGCTGTCACGCTGATGATGGACGAGACCCCCTGCAAGCAGTCAGAGCCTGGCTCACCTCACACACCCTGAACGAATTGGGAGAAACTCCCTATAAACCTCCATCTGGGTGAGAGTGACCAGCCCCAGGGGACCATTCAGCTGCCCTCCTGTCACCGCAGCCTATGGCTTGTCAACAGGGGACCTCTTTAGTTTCTGCCGCCTCTCTCGAGCCCCTTTCACGGTTCTCAGATTCTACCAGTGATGTTCATCTCCACCTTCAGAGCTGGGCTGTTGCCGGGTCACCCTCCCGCCGGCCCCACCCGGGGCCCCGCTCACCGTCTCCGCGGACACGACCACTTCGCCCTGGCAGAGCAGCTGCAGATCCTTGCTGTCGGTCACGTTGCCGAGCCACATGCAGACCCGGAGCTGGGCTGGGAGCGTGTCCTTCTTTCCTTCACCCTCTGGGTACTGAGCCGGAGGTAGGTCAGCAACCATGGGGGTGCAGGCCCCCAGGGGCAGGGGTGCGGGTGAGGGAGGGGCACACACACCTGCCCCTTCACCCTGAGCCCTGGGAGCAGGGGCCTCACACTGAGCTGGGTGATGGCCATAACAGAGGCTGGTACAGGTGCCGCTGGGGAACCTGGGAATGCTCCAGGGAGGACTGGTGCTGATGGTGCCATTGACAACAATGCTTGCTATGCGCCAGGCAACGTGCTAAGGGCTCTGATCCTCACACACCACCACAAGGCGGGCATTATTATCGCCAGGCCCATTTCACAGAGGAGCAGGCTGAAGCCAGACACGGTCAGGAGTTGGCTCCGGCTCACACAAGCCAGTGAGTGGTAGAGCCAGGATTCAAGTCTCAGTGATTCTTGCAGGATGAGAAGGACTCAGGTGGGCCCTTCCACCATGGCGGAAAGGGCAGTGGGGAGCCAGGGACGTCTCCGAGACGGAGGCAGTGTCCCCCACCTGCCTCCCAGGGGGAGGGCTGGAAGCACAGGGCTGTCTTCAGGGCAGGGGACTTGTGGTCATTCGGCCTTATTTATGGATTGTGTCTGATATGAGGGGCTGGCACCCAAACCTTATAGGTATTAAATATGTAGATAGCAGCCAATCGTGGTCCAGGGGAGACAGGACAGGGACAGGACCAAGTGAAGCATCAGGATGATGGAGGGGACAAATTTGAGGAATATTTATGGTGGCATGGACTTGGTGTCGGCCTCATGCTGATGGTCCCAGGCCCCCACCTTCCTCTGGAGAAATGTTTAAACCCCATTTCACCTGGTAAAGGGCCTGACAGAGAGGAAGTGGGCATGCCCTTGGGAGGCTCATGGGGGCTGCCCGGGGTGGGTCAGGGCTTCTCCCTTGGGACGTCCTAGGCCCTCTCCTCCCCTGAGGACCCCTGGCCTCCCCACCTGCAGGAAGAGGGTCTGTGTCTTCCCACAGAACCTGCCGGAGTGCCGGTCCCCGGTCGGGGAGAACAGGATGGTGTGGGCGGGCACCTGTGCATAGGCCACTCGCTGCTCCCGGGACATCAGCCAGATCATCACATCCGGGAGGTTTGTCTGGGGCTGCCGGGCGGGAGAGCGTCAGGCCCACATGGCCGGCTCCACGGCCCGCTCCCGGCCGGAGTATCCAGCACCCACCTCGGGGAGCACGGCATTGAGGCGGTACAGCCAGCCCTCCACGGTGGCCACCATGTCCCTGGGCTGGGCTTCCTTGGCCTTCCGGGCCAGCTCCTGCAGAAGGAGGCTGCGGAGCTGCCACCTCTTCTTGTCCAGGTCGGTTGCTTTGGGCTGATCAGCCATGCAGGGCAGTGGGCACCTGTGGCCAGGACCGGGAGGGCGGGGGCTGAGTCTCCATGTCCCTTGCTCACCATCCCGCCCGGCCTCAGTGCTCTTCCTAGACCCAAGATCCTGCCCCGCGCCTGCTGGCCTGACCCGGGGAGCCCTGCCCACCCTCCTTAGGAAGCCCACTCACTGCGGTCCTGGCCCCTAGGTCCTCATCCTTCCCCTTCCCATCCTCCCAGCCCCTGCAGTGGGCCAGGCCCGTGCTCAGGACCTCCTCGTGGACAGAGGTGTGAGCTGTGAGACAGGGGCCAACCAAACCCGGGTGGGAGGGGGGAGGATCCATGTGGGCTGCCGGGCCAGGAGGAGCCTTACAATGGCTCTTCCAGAACAGGCAGAACCCCAAAGAGGGCCTTGTGGATAGAAGGAGCGGCAGGGGAAAAGGTACGGGCCGGGACTGTGCAGGGCTTGTCTGGACAACGGGGAGGCTGGTTTGGGAGGAGCCCCAGGCATGGGTGTGGGGGGAACAGTAATGGATGGGGAGGTCAGGGCCATTTTGACGGTCCCTGAATGGGAGAGAGGCAGCTCTGTGGTTTGGGGAGAGATCTGCGCAGATCTCATATTTCCTGCGGAGGCAGGGGTGCGGAAGGGTGGCGGTGAGGGCTGTTCTGTAGGGTCCTGTCTGCCCCCCAGACCCTGTGTGAGCCTGATCTGGCTCAGCCCCTGCCCTGGGTGAGGTGCCCACCGCCCCTACCTGCAGTCCTCCATCAGCTCCCTCAGCAGTTTCTCCCACTGGGGGAGCAGAGCCGGGTCCCTTGGATTCCTCATGGATTTCAGGGTGTCCAGATTGGCTTTCTGCCCAGCAGGAGAGAAGGGGCAAGTGAGCATGGGGCTCCCTCAGGACAGGCTGCAGGGCTGATTGGCCTAAGATGGTTTCAGCCAGGACTTGGGGACATTTGAGGGGTAACCTGGGGATGTCAGTCCGAAGCTGTCACACGCCCTTGCAACGCTAGGATTCCCACCCACCCTCTCAATGGGTGGCGGGAAGGAGCCAGGACAGGGTGGGACTGTGAAGAGGTTACAGGGCCCTGATGCTGGGCTCCCCTTCTATCGGTGCGAGAAAGTCATATCTGAGGCGGGGGCACCAGGTGGCTCTCCTGCCTAAAACTGCTCTGCGGCTTCCTTCCTTAACAGTCACGAAGACCTTTTGTGATCGGACCCTTCCCAGCTTCCCTGGCCTTATTTCCACCTCACCTCCGGGCCCCCACCACCCCCGAACTTCCTATCACCATGGCTCTGCCCGTCGTTCCCTTCTCTGCACCCCAGCACTACCCCCAGCAAGACTCCAATGTCATCTCCTTTTTGAACACCTCCTCTGACTCTCCTCTCTTCATCTCCCCCACCCCAATCTCTCTGCCCCCATGGTTCTCCTGCATCTCCACCGCAGCCCTACTGCACTGCGTACCGCCTATTTGCATATCCGACTTCCCTGCTGGTGAAGACTGTGTCTACCCATCGTTGTGTCTTCAGTGCCTGTGTCTGGCACGTCCGTCTCAATTGGTGTGGAGTGCATGAGAGAGCTGAGTGACCGGGTTTCTAAGACTGCGATTCATTTTCCCAAGTCTCCCATCAATGACCCGGGTCTTTCCCTGTACCACCACCCCATCCCCCATCCCCACACCACTCACCAGGCGGTCCCGAGTGAACTGGAGGAGGTTGAGGCAGTTCATGCGGAAGCTGACGTCCTCCCAGTAGGAGGTCACGGCCACGACGGGCTTGGTGTTGTACCAGGGCACATAATGGTAGATGTTCCCTGAGACACAGAGACACGAGCAGGGGGTGGGGGCTGGAGGTCTGAGGGACAGTGTTCCCTCACTGTGTTCCCTCAGAGGACCTTTCTTGGGCTACTTCCTTCCTCTAGGATCTGCTAAGCATCCTTACTGGACTCCTCCTACTGGAAGGTGGGCTGCAGGCCAGTCCAGGATGGATGCGCTTTGATGAGCACAGCCGGCTGGCCGGAGCATTCACTGTGCTCAGTGTCACACAGCCTTACGGAGTCCCCAGTTTATAGGTGGGAAAACCCAGGCTAGTGATGGGAAGCAGTTTCCCTGTGGTGGCACAACCAGGTGGTATAAAGCAGGCATTCAGTTCCAGAGCCCGTGCCCCTAACTCAGGCAAGATGCCAAGGCCAGGGGCCTGCCCTGAGGTAGGGTCTTCCTTCTGGGTGGTGGGTAGGCACATGAGGAGTGGGTCCTGTGTTCGGGAGCCCCAGTGTTTGGTTGGCGTGGGCAGACATCTGACATGAAGGGTCTGCCGTGCAGAGGAGTGGGGTAGAGGAGTAAGCATGGACACAGCCAGTGATGGGCTTGGCAGGCTGGGTCTCCTGGCCATGATCCTTATTGAAAAGAGCGGGGGACTTCCCTGGTGGTGCAGTGGTTAAGAATCCGCTTGCCAATGCAGGGGACATGGGTTCAAGCCCTGGCCCGGGAAGATCCCACATGCCGTGGAGAAGCTAAGCCCGTGCACCACAACTACTGAGCCTGTGCTCTAGAGCCCGTGCTCCGAAACAAGAGAAGCCACCGCAATGAGAAGCCCGCGCACCTCAACGAAGACCCATCGCAGCCAAAAAATAAAATAATAAATAAATTTATTGAAAGAAACATTGGAGAATTCCTTAATAAATTTGGAGTGGAAAAGATCTAATTATGACTCAGAAGCCAGAAGCCATAAAACAAATAGTTTGCATACGTTAAAAAAAAAAGTTTTCATGGGGGAAAAAAAAACCCAGAACACCATAAGCAAAGCTGTGAGACAAATAGAAGATATATATTTAGAGCTCATATCGCAAAGGCCTAATTTCCCTAATATTTGAAGGGATCCTAGAAATCAATAAGAAAATGGCTAACATCCCAATAGAATAAAAGAGAAAATTATATAAACAGTCAACTAACACCAAGGGAAATACAAATGACTTTTAAACATATGAAAATATGTCTAACCTCATTTATAATGCGAGAAATACAAATGACAACTACACCAAAATACCGTTTTTCACTTATCGGACTGATAAAAATCCAAAAGTTTATGCCAGATTTTTTTTTTTTTTTTTTTTTGCTGTACGCGGGCCTCTCACTGTCGTGGCCTCTCCCGTTGCGGAGCACAGGCTCCGGATGCGCAGGCTCAGCGGCCATGTCTCACGGGCCCAGCCGCTCTGCGGCCTGTGGGATCTTCCCGGACCAGGGCACGAACCCGCGTCCCCTGCATCGGCAGGCGGACTCCAAACCACTGCGCCACCAGGGAAGCTCCTATGCCAGATTTTGATAAGGCTCTCACATTGCAGGAGTGTACAATGGTACAACATTTATGGAGGATAATCAGTCAGGGTGCAGCCAGGAAAAGAAAACATCATACCAGATATTTGAAACAGAGGGGATTTGATAGAGAAAACATGTTTATGAAAGGGCCAAGAGATCAAAAAGGGGAAACTGAAGTTACTGAGACATTAGTAACTAGAGGAAGAAGCTACTACTTCCAGGGCTGGAGGGAAGGGACACACTGGTATGACCAGAGACAAAAGCAGAGTCATGGCTGCATCACTGAGTTTGCTGCACGGGGTACTGGAAGCAATCAGAAAATGATGCCCAACCAGTAGTGAAACTGCAGAGGAGCGGCTGCCTGGCCAAGTCTGGAACCATGGAGAGATGGGAGTTAAGCTGGGATCTCTGAAGGGATGTAGCTACTTCCAGAGACGTCTCCTGAATCAGAGAGAGAGAGGAAGAGGAAGGGGAAGAAGGAGGAGGAGGGGAAAAGAGGTGAGAGGAGGGGAGGAGAGGAGAAGAGAAGGGAAGGGAACAAGAATATCTCCCCTTGGGCTTCCCTGGTGGCGCAGTGGTTGAGAGTCCGCCTGCCGATGCAGGGGACACGGGTTTGTGCCCCGGTCCGGGAGGATCCCACATGCCGCGGAGCGGCTGGGCCCGTGAGCCATGGCCGCTGGGCCTGCGCGTCCGGAGCCTGTGCTCCGCAACGGGAGAGGCCACAACAGTGAGAGGCCCGCGTACCACAAAAAAAAAAACAAACAAAAAAACCCAGGCAGACAAGGGGGATGCATGGAAAGCCCTCCATGGGTGATGAGAGGGTGAAGCTGACAAAGATGAAAGTGAGATAGTGTTCCTCTAGAGCAGTGATTCTCAAACTTTAGCACGCATCCCAGTCACCTGGAGGGCTTGTTGAAACGCAGATTGCTGTTCTGTTTTCTGCTTCTGTAGGTGTGGGGTGAAGCCAAGAATATGCATTTCTATCAGTTCCCAGGTGACGTTGATGGGGCTGGCCTAGGGACTGCACTTCGAGAAACTTATAGTGCCCCATAGAAGTGTCCAATGAGTATACATTGGATGAAAGGATGGATGGGTGGATGGGTGGTTGGTTGCATGATTGGGTTAGTGGATGGGTGGTAGTTGAATGGATGAATGTGTGGATAAGTGGATTCAAGGACGGATGGAAGGTGGGCAGGTGAGTAGTGGATGGTAGCCACATGGCTGGATGGGGGTGGTTCAGAGTAGCAGGAAAGAAGATGAGGTTGGGAAGCTGTGGTGTGGAATGTAGTGTAGAGAAGGACTTGAAGTCAAAACCTAGTTTCAGTTCTTGTCATGGGTTCACCACCTACTAGCTAGCTGTGCAATGTTTGGCAGGTAACTTCACCTCCCTGAAGCTCACTTTCCTCACGTCTAAATGTGGGTTAACAATGCCTGTGAATGTACCGTGAGCTAATACCATTAAAAGGGCCAACACAGAGCCCGGCATGCACTGGCTGCTCTCTACTCTTTTGTTGGATCTGACTCTTACCATCATATATCACTTGGCTGTACTGTGTGGTGGAGACGAGAGGCTTGTAACTCAGGTCCGTCTTGTTTCCATAGTGACCAATGCTGACCTCGAATTGTATCAGGTCCTTAAAGTTGGGCATCATGGTACAGGAAAGGAAGATGACGCACAGTCCATACTTTTGGCGGTTCTGGTGCTTCTAAAACAATAACCCACCACATGCCCAGTGCGTAAGCCAAGGGATGAACAAGGCTATAGAGACAGGCAGGGAGGCAAGCATGAGGTGCCCAGTTTCTTTCAAAAGCTACCTTTGCTTCTATTCAGGGTGACCTAGACCATCACTGAACCCCTGCCCCCTCTCAAAATCCTGCCTTGACTCCCACTCACCTGGCTGATCAAGGGAAGTTCCTCCCAGGACTTCCGTCACCTGGCCCCCTCCACCCAGCCGGCCCTGGTTTCTCCTCTTCCTGAAATCAGGCAGGAGGGTCTTCTCCCTGGTCAGGCTAGACTCTGAGTTGGGCCACCCCCACCCCTCTCCATTTTGCCTAAATGCCCCCCCATCGGATGAGACCGAGTGTGGGCAGGGGTGCGTGGTGGAGGATGCATACACACACACATCTGCTCTTGGCTTTTGTCAAACCCCGTCCTCCCACTGCGAGTCCGTCTGCTCAGGTCCTCTATCCATCATGTGAGCCCCTCTCTCATTTCCACTGTCTACCTCTGCCCTACTTATGCATTCTCCCAGTCTGCTCACTAGCTCAAGTCTCCCCCTCTTAAAAAATAACCCTCTTTCTCCCGTCTGAGCCACTATCTAGCTGTAACCTGATCTCATCTCCTTCAACTTTGCAGCCAAGTTTCTATGCACTTGCCTCTATGCACGTCTGTAACTTCTCCCTCCCGCCCACGGCAGCCTGGCTTCTCTCCTGACCCAAGGCTACTGGTGTCTTCCTAATAACCAGCACACGCTTTTGGGTCCTCAGCCCTTCTCTCCTCCACATTCAGATCGCTGCTCGCTCCTTTCTGCAACTCTCCCCTCCGGAGGCTGCCTCAGTTCTCCACTTTGCAGACTCCCCCTCCATCTCTCTGCAGAGTCACCCCCCTCCTCCTCCAGTCTCATAGGCTGTGCTTCCTGATGGGCTCCAGCCTCAGCTCCCTTCTCCTTTCACTCCACCTACTCCCCAGGGCAATTCCTCCAGAAACTTGGATAGATCCTTGGATGTATGTTGATGACACATCTGGCTGTCTAGCAGCCTTGAGGACTGGTCTTCGTGGGTGTCTCACAAGCACACGTCAAAGGTGGGACTCATCGTCTCCCCCAGACCTGTTCCTCCTTTGGGGAGCCCATGTTGATGTACGCCCCCCACCTTCCCACCTCGTCACCTCAGGCAGAAAATGGGAGTCAGCCTCACTTCTTAGTGTCCTGTCGGTCAGTGGCTCTGATCGTTGTTTCCAGAGGGTCTCTGGCACCTGCTCCCTCCTCTCCAGTTCTCCTCCCCTGTAACTGTGTCCCCATTCCTCCTAAGTGGGTGGCCCAATTTACTCCCTTCCAGTCTATTCCTGACTCTGTTCCTCCTGCCCCTTCCTGCCTCAGTGACCCTCCTTGGCCTTCAGGAAGAAATCCAGGCTCCTTAGAACATCATTTCTCCTTAACTGGATTACACATTTCTTAAACTGAAGCCTTGTCTTTACTGGGTCCCCTAACCTCCTGGGATTGGCACGGCAGGAAGCCCCCATAGGGGCTTAGCAAAGACTCAGGTGGATCGACCAAACATCCTCACACATCCAAAAAGCTCATTCCACTGCTGGCCAGGGCCTCTTGCAATGTCAGAAACGGGACCCACAGCAGCCCAGGGGCAGGCAGAGGAGCTCCTTCTTCCTGGGTTACCTGGTTCCTGTGGTTACCTCTACGCTGATGACATCTCGGGAGAGATCCTTCATCATAGCATCTTGGCGGGACTTGACGTGGGTGATTAACTCCAGGAAGACTCGGCCTCGATAAGCTAAACCATCCTTAACAATGTTGGGAATAGTCTAGTGTGACAGGAAGGAAAACGGCGAGAAAAGGGATGAGAGAAAAAAAACAACAACAACCAGGAAAGTCTCCCTTGAAACCTCTGTAGGAAGGACAGGGTTGTCCTGTAACTTCCTACCTAGGGCTGACCACAGTCCCAGGGAGGAATTCCAGAAACTCCAGTCACGGCCATGCCTGGAAACCTCTGGGCCCTGAGCCATCTTCTATACCCTTAGGTCCACTCTTCCCCTTCATGCAGTTCTACCTGCTGGCCCACCTGAAGGGCCCCGTTCCTGGTAAACCCTTCATGCTTGGAGGGGACCGTGGTACCTATTGAATTATCCCAGCCTGGCCAATCAGGACAGGCCCCGCCTCCTCAGCAACAGTGATTGGTCAAAGGGGAGCACACATGACCTAGGAAGGCCAATTAGAATGCTTCCCTGGCCTTCCCTAGTAGAGGCTTCTATGGTCCTCTTCCCAGCAGGGAGGCAAGACTGCAGTAGGAATGAATGAGGCCCAGGAAAGAGCAGGAGAGATGAGAGATGGAGTGAGCGTGGGAGAGTCTCCTAATGGCATTGAGGTCCTGGTTTCTGCAGCTCTTCCTCACTCAGATTCCTTCCCACCCCCATTCCCTTCTTTTGCCAATTGGCTTTCTGGCATTTACCACCAGTCTTGAATAACCCAGGGCTTTTCCACGTTTACCTGTGCTGTTTCTTTTGTTGCCTATGACGTTCCACCTGCCGAAACTCTTACCTGAGGTCTCATCTCAACGTCCCTTCCTCAGTGACTGCCCAGAGCACTCCATCTGTTCCTTTCTTGTGCCACAGCACATGCCCCGTATTTATATGGCCATTTATGTACAGACTTCAAGTCCTCTACTGGAGTGTGGCGGACAGAAACCAGGGCCTGGCCCTCCCCAGGCAGTTCCCAGGCCCCGGTGCCTTACACATGGTTGGTTTTACCTCCTCTGTTCCCTAGAGCTGACATGAGAAGCTTACAGCGTCTTCCTCCTTGATCCTGAAAGGGGCCTTTTTACCCCCACGGAGAGTCAGGAAGCTGGGGCCAAAGCAGGGGAGGAAGCCAGAGTACATGCCTGCAAGGGGAGAGGGTGAGAAGGGTCCCCAGGTCCGGGTGGGAGGGGTGCAGGAGGCGGGGCCGGGGGCTTGCTTGCCTTCTATTTCTGCTCCAGTGGAAGAGATCTGGTTGAGGGACAGGCTGACCGTCCCGATCTCATCATGGCACTTGTTCCCGGGGCTGGAGAGAAACACACCCTGCAGGCTGAGCCCCTGGCCCAGCTCTGATTTCTTCCTCCCTGGCGTGTTTTCCAGTCTCCACCCAGTTGCTCACCAGTCCAAGACTCTGAACTTGATGTAGCTGGAGAGGCAGGGCAGCTGCAAGGGGCAAGCGAGGGGGGCAGTGGGTGCCTGCTCGGATGGCCTGGGCCTTGCTGAAACTGGGAGCAGGTGGAAAGTCCTGAGTCTGGGTCAAGGCCTGGCTCGGTTACCAGTGAGCCCAGTGGGACTGACCATGGGAGCTTATGGACCTTTGGCTGTGGGCCCCCCACTGCATCGGCCCTTTGCAAGGGCCTGGGAAAGGCCTTGGACTGTGTCCCATTACCATTTTGTATTCTTATTCTTAAAATGGTCCCTCATTACATAAGTTCCCTAGTGGACCTGGCTTCCCTGGTGGTGCAGTGGTTAAGAATCCACCTGCCAATGCAGGGGACATGGGTTCGAGCCCTGGTCTGGGAAGATCCCATATGCCGCAGAGCAACTAAGCCCGCGAGCCACAACTACTGAGCCTGCGTGCCACAACTACTGAAGCCTGTGTGCCTACAGCCGGTGCTCTGCAACAAGGGAAGCCATGAAAATGAGAAGTCCACGCACCTCAACGAAGACCCAACACAGTCAAAAATAAAAACAAATAAATAAATAAATGTATAAAATTTATTTTATAAATTTTATAAAATAAATCGGGTCCTAGTGGACCAGAGTCCACCCTACTTTGGGCTGCATGATTGCAGTCCTCACACGGCCCTTCAGTCTGGAGGCATGTTTACCAAGCCTCATGGGGAGGTTGTAGGCCTCGAATGTCTTCCTCACATTTAGCAGTTAACCTTTATTTATTTATTTTAATTTAATTTAATTTAATTTTTTTTTGGCCATGCCCTGCAGCTTGTGGGATCTTAGTTCCCCGACCAGGGATTGAACCTGGGCCCTCAGCACTGAGAGCACGGAGTCCTAACCACTGGACCGCCAGGGAATTCCCTAGCACCTAACCTTTAAACAGCAGGACATCTATCTCCTCAAAGAGTAAATCATAACAGCTGCCACTCTGGGGAGGCCTCTGTTGTCCTCAGCGTGTCCTGAATGGTCTACGTGGATCACCTGAGAGACCCACCCCGCCTACAGCCCCAGAAGCCAGGAGCTATGATTATTCCTATTTTCAGACAGGAACACTGTGGCACGGAGAGGCTGAGTTCCTGAAGTTCTCATGTAACATGCAGAGCCCCTACCCACTCTGGCAAGGCCTGACTGTCCCTATTTACCGAGCGGGACTGAGGCCCAGAGAGGGACTTGCTTGAGATCGCACGGTAAGGGGTAGAATCAGGATTGGAACCCAAGCTTCTGAGTCTTACCTCTGCTCTGCCCTCAGTTATAAAAACAAAAAATCCACGTATAAAACAGAGCTGTTAGGGGTGAGGCCTGAGTGAGCCCCAAATCCTCTCAGCTGGAGCCTCTTCTCTGCTCACAGCAGCTCCTGGGGTGTGGCCTGGGGTCCTCAGTTCTCCACTCCCCTCTCCTTTTCCCCTTGCCATGGAAGCCGAGGGTCGGGGGAGCGGGGAAAGAAAGCTTTCCAGCTGAGTGTCTGATTAGTAAGCTACGAGGAGGTCACCCAGGTTAAGGAAGGACACGGGAAGTGGAGAGATGGGAGTCGTTGGGCATCCGGGTCTTCCAAAGTACCAAACCCTCCATATTTGAATTTATGGTGGAACCATCTGTTCATCCATCCTTGGGAAGTCTCCTCCCCTTTCCCAGTTCCTTGTCTTGATTCCCCTCCTGTCCGGGAGCCCTTGAACTGCTAACTGGCACAGACCATTTTCAGCAGTGCGCCCCCTGCAGTCTGCCTTGCTGGGGCCCTGACCAGCTGTTCTCAGATGCCACTGGCTGTGCAGTCATCCCGCCACTTCCGAGTGAGTTCACATCTGCCTGCTGCACTTCCAGAGGGCTAGTGACAATGAGGCCTGCACCCAAATCGCCCCAGCGCCGGAGACTGTGTCTTCAGGGAATGGGTGAGGGTCCAGAGTGTGTTTGGACATCTTCAGACATTGGAAGCCCTCTTTCAAGGATGAAGGGGGGCCTGGCCCCCCTGACTGCACCTCCCCGCTGTCTTCTGAGCCTGAAGGAAGCTGAACGTGAGCGAGGACATCCAAGGCCCTGAGCATCCACAGAGAAACTAAGGATTCCAGCCATGAGCTTCATCACAGCTAGAAAAGGTGGGAGGGAGCAAGGGTGGGGGATGGACTGGGCCCCTTCTAAAATCTCTCCCTACTTTAAGAATCTATAAAGTCACCCAAGAAGGTGGGGATTATGAGGAATGGTTAAAAATGATGACTCATGGGGACTTCCCTGGTGCGGCAGTGGGTCAGAATCCGCCTGCCAATGCAGGGGACGTGGGTTTGATCCCTGGTCCGGGAAGATCCCACATGCCACGGAGCAGCTAAGCCTGTGAGCCATAACTACTGAGCCTGCGCTCTAGAGCCCATGTGCCACAACCACTGAGCCCATGTGCCACAACTACTGAAGCCCGCGTGCCTAGAGCCAGTGCTCCACAACAAGAGAAGCCACCACAATGAGAAGCCCGCGCACCACAACAAAGAGTAGCCTCTGCTCGCTGCAACTAGAGAAAGCCCGTGCGCAGCGACGAAGACCCAACGCAGCCAAAAGTAAATTAAAAAAAAAAAAAAAAAAAAAGATGACTCACGAGGAGGCAGAAGATTCTACGAGAAGCAGGGAGGAGGGTCCACAGAAGGGTAGCTAATTTCACGTCACACAAATGTAAGGTAGGTATAAGGAAAGCAAAACACTCCCTGGGTAGCCAGACAGATGCCACACAAAGTTCTGTACACTCTCACTTATGGGAGTGCCCAAGTTCTCTCTCACACTGCATACCCTTATTTTACACACAGCTCTTAGAAGCCTGGCGTGGAGTCAAAAAGCAATCAAGGCTCTCCCAGGGCTTGGAGAAAACTGACATCCACACCGCTGATAGGTGACTGAGAAGGACTGAAAGGCTTTAGAAATCAGACTACAGAACCCCACAGAGAAGAGCATGTTGGGGTCATTTAATGTGGGAACAAACAGCCCCACACTACATGTAGCCAGCATGTAACTGTGTTCCTGTAGTGCCTCTAAGCCATCAACAAAGAGCTATAATTATATTCAGGGCGCATTGCCTAGAAGATAAGAAAATGCATAATACAATTTAGAATGAGTCTTGAAAGTGATTGCTTTTTTTTTTTTATGTAGGTGAAAGGGCACGTTTAAGTTCTCTGGAAAGTTCAGTTGTAGGGTCCATTCTTTTTTTTTTTGGCGGTACGCGGGCCTCTCACTGTTGTGGCCTCTTCCGCTGTGGAGCACAGGCTCCGGACGCACAGGCTCAGTGGCCATGGCTCACGGGCCCAGTCGCTCCGCGGCACGTAGGATCTTCTCGGACCGGGGCACGAACCCGTGTCCCCTGCATCGGCAGGTGGACTCTCAACCACTGCGCCACCAGGGAAGCCGCGTTTCTTTTTTTTTTTTTAACCTAGCCTCCTTGATCATTAGCTGAAATCATCTGGGTCATTTATTGGTTTCCCTTTTTTTTTTTTTTTTTTTGGCCTCACAGCACTTGGTTGTGGGATCTTAGTTCCCCGACCAGGGATCGAATCCAGGCCCTCAGCAGTGGGAGCGTAGAGTCCTAACCACTGGACTGCCAGGAAATTCCCCCCATTCATTTCAAGTAAGGTTCTCTGTAATATGTCTTGGGCTTCCTCATGCTCCCTATCAGGCAGAGTCCCCGCCCCCTCCCGCCGTGCTTTGTGGCCCCTACCTTCCATCCACACACCCCCACAAACACCCAAACCCCCTTCTGTTTGTGGTGCAGGAGGAAGAGGGCGGGCGTGATGGCACAGCAATACCTGAATCTGGAAGGTCAGGATCTGGTTCCATATCGGGCTCTCGGTTTGCATCCGCACGTGTGTCTTGAGCTGGGAACATCCCAAAGCAGTGTCAGTGCCAGCCTGTCCCCTCCTCCCTCCACTGGCCTCACCTCCCAGCCCTTCCGGTCCAGCCCACAGGTGAACCTGTCTGCAGCACAGGGCTGGTCATGGGAATCCCTGGTCCAAAGACACTTTGACAGCTTCTCATCCGCTACAACTCTGGTCCTTTGAGTAGCTACCTAGATCCAGACTCCTTCATATTTTCCCTTAAATCAGCTTTCAATTAACTTTTAAATAGATACAGGGTTACTAACTTTATTATATCAGTGCAAACACATAGATTTTGTTAGATAAACTCTAAGATCCCAATAAAAAGTCAGCAATAACAATGCTGATGGTATCCCCCTTTCTAAAACATCACTTGACTTCATTTTTAAACCTAGCCTTATTCTAAGCAATCATGTCAGTGAAACCAAGGGTTAGTTGAACTGCTTAAACTTTTTCATACACTCTAAGAAAAACACAGAAATACTAAAATTTTTGAAAACATGTGTGCCTCTACCACCCAACAGTACCTCACCTACTTCCAGGGTTCCTAAACCACTCATTGGGAAATAAATACTCAGTGTGGTGGCTTCAAAATATGCCCACACCTCCCTTTGGTACTCTCCCCTTCAAAAGACGGACACTAACCTCCCTCCCCTCACGTATGGGCTGGATTTAATGACTTCTTCTAATAGGTAGAATATGGTGGAAATGATGGTTGATGAATTCTGAAACATATCTAACCCAGCATTCCCCAGATTTGAACATGCGATCTTTTTTTTGCACATAACATCCATCAACACCCTTTGGAAAATGCTACCATATGTTCATAGAGGTTCATGGAATGTCAGCAACTCTCTTGCCCAGAACCTTCAACTTCTAGATGAAGAAACTGAGGTCCAAAGCGGACGGTGACAGTTTCAGTTGTGCATTTGCGGGCATGTTGTTTCATCCACTTGTCCACTCATCCGTGCATTTGGATGTTTGGTTTTCGGTGGGCATCTTCTCTATGCAGGGCACTGGGCACAGCTCTGGGATACAGGCTGACTAAGCCATGGCCTCCACCTTCACAGAGGCCCGGGTCCAGTGGGATCATATCACCCATAAATGGAAGAACTGGGATACAACACCTGGGGTCCTGGCCACTTTTCCTCCACACCATTTTTTTTTAGGTGCCAATTTCTCTAAGTCTCAGACCATTTTTACGCTTACCTTTTCCCCAATTAGTTCCACCTCCAACATAGGACTCACTAAGTGGTGTTTCTCTAAGAGCAAAGAAGTTAAAAGATTTCTGAGATAGCAGCATTTTTTTTTTTCAGAAGGAAATGGAGAAGTGACAGAACAACTTAAAACCCTCCCCCGTAATTTGGTTTGGTGCCCCCTGGGCAGACACCTCCCATTTCCACTCTGTCTCCATGTGCTGTTGTGTGTCCTGGCACACAACAGCAGCGGGGGTGGGGCCTGGCATAGGGAACCTTGAGTCTGCATCTGGGCATCAAAGACAGGGCAGGGGCACATGGCCCATTTTAAAGGGACCTTCATAAAACCATTCTTGGCAGATTTCAGTCTCCCTCTCTCCCCCACCCCAAATCGTAGTGTCAAGACGGAACTGGGGAGCCCCAGGAGAAACCAGAGTGCCACCAGGTAGGGAACCTCAGGGTCAGCCCCTCCCCCGCCCTGACTGACTGAGGTGGAGATCCTCGGCGCAGTAGATGAAGAATTGTAAGTAGGCCATATTGATGGGCACCACCGATGACTTGAAGATCTGAATGTCAGTGTCATCAGCCCTATAGGTCAGCTTTTGATCTACCTGGAGAGACCAGAGAGCTAATAGGGTCAGAGTCTTAGGGAGGTCACGGCCACCAGACTTGGCTTCCCCAACCTTCCGCTTGGTTGAGGTGGGGATGGACAACCCTGAAGGGACACAGTGGACAAATGAAAGCATGTGAAGAACGATGGCCTCTTGGGGGGCCCACGGGGGGGCCCCACGGAAGCAGCCAGGGTAGGAAATGTTCCTGGGGTGTTGGAGGGACAGCCTCACCGGTGCCTGGTCTCCCACACCGAGGGCAGAGATGGTGACTTTCAGGTAGCCTCTCACACCACTGCTGGGTTCATTTGGCTGGCAGAGACCAAGCCATTTCCTCAGGAGTGTGTGACCTGGAGAGGCAGAGGGCCCATGGGAGACCAGCCTCCAGCCTCTATTCTTCTTCCCTGAAACCAGCCTTTGCTTCTGTAGGAGACGGGTGTGGAAACGTGTCTCATATATTTTGGTTCCCAGCCAGGGGCAGGGGGAAACGGGAGTCACTCCTACCTTTAAGCCAAAGCTGCCCGCTATTGCCTTTAGGAAATAGGGACCCTCCTTTCCCATCCAGGGAACTTATAGTTGTTACTGTCCTGGTCTGAGAGAGGCAAATATTTTCCCCAACCCTAAGTCCCAACCTCAACCCGGTATGTATGTTATGGTCAGGTCTACTCAAAATTCAAACACTGGCCACACATTGTAAATCAACCATGCTTCAATTAAAAGAAATTAAATAAACAACAACAGCAACAAAATTCAAACACTGGCATAGAAAGATAGAAATTCAACCCAAGGCTGCAATAAAAAATTAGCATTTGACCCAAAGAGATGCTTTGATTTTTGTAGAGAAAGATGTTATTATAAAGCAAGATAAGATACCATGAAGTACAGTAAAATGTTAAGTACAGAAAATAATTCACACCTTCTAATACTCTCCCCCCATGTGTTGGACATACAGGGATTTTGAGATGGTTTCAACACCCGACCTGGCTTTTTCTCAGAAGACACACATATTTCCAAGAACTGCTACCTACCTGGAGAGTTGTAGATGAACCCAATATCTGTCTGAAAAGATAAGAATAGAGTAAGGATTAGTTAGGGCCTCCAGCCAACCAACTTGATGACAGTATGAGTACTCGTTCCACCCTAATTCCTTTAATCTTTACAACGACCTGGAAGTTGGGCCATTATCATAGTGGAGGCCATTATCACCTCCACTCTACAGGGGAGGATACTGAGTTTGAGAGAAGAGCCCAGCGTTTTACAACTAGTAAGTGAGGTGGCCTGGATTGAAAGGATTCTTGACCACCACCAGCACTGCTGGCCAACACAGCGTTATTCTTCCCTACCCCTGGGGGTTGGGGAAAGGTGTCTCCCGTCCTGGGGAAGAGGATGGTCAAGGGAGGATTTGGTAAAGAGACTATGGGTTTTCCCTTTCCCCTGGGAGACAGTTTTTGACTCCCTGAGGCCTGAGGGATGCAGTACAGGATTGAAGGTGGTGTGGGGCAAGGTACCGCAGAACATTCAGGCCACCCTTGGAAGGGTCCATAGAGCAAGCCCCAAGTTTTGCATGTAGGCCTGCTTTAAAGCTCAGTCAGCCCCTTGGGTTAGGTAGGCAAAGATTTCTTAGATCCAACAACAAAAACACAATCCATAAAAGAAATTTTTGATAAATTGGACTTCATCGAAATGTAAAACTTCTGCTCTTTGAAAGACACTGTTAAGAAAATGGAAAGAGGGCTTCCCCAGTGGCGCAGTGGTTAAGAATCCTCCTGCCAATGCAGGGGACATGGGTTCGAGCCCTGGTCCGGGAAGATCCCACATGCCGCGGAGCAACTAAACCTGTGCACCACAACTACTAAGCCTGCGCTCTAGAGCCCATGTGCCGCAACTACTAAGTCTACGTGCCACAACTACTGAAACCTGTGTGCCTAGAGCCCGTGCTCTGCAACAAGAGAAGCCACCACAATGAGAAGCCCGCACACCACAACGAAAAGTAACCCCTGCTCGCCGCAAAGCCCACGTGCAGCAACAAAGACCCAACACAGCCAAAAATAAATAAATAAATAAACTTATTATTTTTTTAAAAAAAAGAACCCTTAAGAAAGAAAAGAAAATGAAAGGAGACGTGATATACTGGGAGAACATATTTCCAAATCATTTATCTGATAAAGGACTTGTATCCAGAATATATAAGAAAATCTCAAAACTCCATAGTAAGAAAACAAACAACCCAATGAAAACAAGCAAAAGATTTGAACAGACACTTCATCAAAGAAGTTAGATAGCAAATACTTGAAAAGATGCTCAACATCATCAGGGAAGTGTAAATTATAATCACAACAAGATACCACCACACATACTTAGAAGAGCCAAAATTTAAAAGATGGACAGTATCAAGTTTGCATAAGAATGTGGAGCAACTGGAACTCTAATATATACTGCTGGTGGGAATATAAAATGGTAGAACCTATCTGGAATTTTTGGGAAAAAACTGCTAGGAATTTTCTTTAAAAGTTAAACACACACCTACCATATGAGGTAGTCATTTCACTTCTACATATTTAGTCAAGAGACATCAGAGCATAGGTCCATACTAAGACTTACACATCAGTGTTACAGCAGCTTTGTTTTAATAGCGCCAAGCTGGAAACAATCTAAACGTCCATCAGCAGATGAATGGATCAACAACCTGTGGTATATCCCTAAATGGAATACTATTCAGCAATAAGAAGGAATGAACTATTGATCCATGCAACAACATGGATGAATCTCAAAATAATTATGCTGATTGAAAGAAGCCAAACAACAATAAAGTACATGCTGTATGATTCCATTTATATACAATTCTAGAAAATGCAAAGCAATGTGTAGTTACAGAAAGCAGACCAGTGGTTGTCTGGGGATGGGAGCAGGAAGGATTGGGGGAAGAGGGAAGAATTACAAAGAGGCACAAGGAAACTTTGGAGGGTGATAGGTATGATAGATATGTTCATTACCTTGATTGTGATCATGGTTTCATGGTTGTATACATATTTTAAAACATGAAATTATACATTTAAAATATGTATAGGGAATTCCCGGGCAGTCCAGTGGTTAGAACTGAGCATTTTCACTGCCTTGGCCCGGGTTCAATCCCTGGTCGGGGGACTAAGATCCTGATAAAATAAAATAGTATAATTCATTGTATGTCAATTGTACCTCAATAAAGCTAGAAGAAAACAAACCCAAATGAAACTCAGTCACCTCTAACGAAGCCATAGATCTAGGCAGTGATCAATAGCTGTTAACAACATAAAAAGAGACCAACAGTCATTCTGTGTCTCCTGATGACATCATCTTGCCAAATAATTGACCCAAGTCTGATCTAGCCTCCAGATAGGAACTACCTGGGCAGACAGACGTGAGAAGTGATCCCCTGGAGGTACAACCAGCAAAATCCAGACTGAGGGAAAACTGCAGGAGAAGCTATCCAGTTGCTTCAACAAATAAATGGCAAGGTAAACTAGGGGGCAGGACCAACTGAATGAAATACACCTAAAAATAACATTTTAACCAACTGCAATATGTGCACCTGGTTTGGATCCTGATTTGAACAAACTGTAAATGGAATTCACAAGACAATTAGGGAAATGTGAGCACTGACTAGATATTAGTGCTCTCCAGGAATTATAAAAAGGTGTTTAGATGTAGTCATTTTCTTTGGTTATGCTTAATAAAATCTGTATGTTTTAGAAATAGGTAATGAAATATTTAAAAATAAAGTGATGTCTGAGATTTGATTCAAAATCTGTAGGGGGAAAAAAAGAAAAAAAATCTGTAGGGGAGAGGGAGGGGGCCAGGTGTAGATAAAACATGATGACATGATTGACAACGAATTGGGGAAGGTGAGTGATGGGGATGGGGGAATTCATGATACCATTCTCTCTACTTTTGTGTATGTTTGAAATTTTCCAAAAAAGGAATATATATATTTTTAAAAGCTCAGGTTTTTCCCTGACCTCTAAAACGTATTCAACAGTCGGTCATCGTCTGGAAGTCGCACAGTGGCCTTTGTCAAAATGAATGGATAAAGAAGATGTGGCACGTATATACAATGGAATATTACTCAGCCATAAAAAGAAACGAAATTGAGTTATTTGTAGTGAGGTGGATGGACCTAGAGTCTGTCATACAGAGTGAAGTAAGTCAGAAAGAGAAAGACAAATACCGTATGCTAACACATATATATGGAATATAAGAAAAAGAAATGTCATGAAGAACCTAGGGGTAAGATGGGAATAAAGACACAGACCTACTAGAGAACGGACTTGAGGATATGGGGAGGGGGAAGGGTAAGCCGTGACAAAGTGAGAGAGTGGCGTGGACATATATACACTACCAAACGTAAGGTAGATAGCTAGTGGGAAGCAGCCGCATAGCACAGAGAGATCAGCTCGGTGCTTTGTGACCACCTAGAGAGGTGGGATAGGGAGGGTGGGAGGGAGGGAGACGCAAGAGGGAAGAGATATGGGAACATATGTGTATGTATAACTGATTCGCTTTGTTATAAAGCACAAACTAACACACCATTGTAAAGCAATTATACTCCAATAAAGATGTTAAAAAAGAAAAAAAGCACATTTTGACTTCCTGCTACCTAGCCTCTCTAGAATCTCTTAATTTCTAAACCTGTGCTGCTTCCTTGAGGGTTAGGTGGGGGAGGGGCAGGTCATGACCCTTCTTGTGCTTATTACAAGTACTGTAGTGAGAAAGAAACCTTACTTTGATTTGCCCTAAATTTGCATTTCCCAAGGGCTGGGCCCTTTTCCATGAGTTGCCAGATTTAGCAAATGAAAATACAGATGGCAGCTTAAATTAGAGTTACAGATAAACAATGTGGTGCTCCAAGGACAATGGTGCTTCAAGGACAAAGGATGACCCTGCCTGAAAAAGTTTCAGCGGTACGCCCCCCTACCAGACTCTTAATCACCCTCCCTACCATGTTACGATGGTTACGAAATTTCTGAGCCCACCTGGGCGACGCCTGCCTGGGCGATGGGACCTGTCCCATATAAGGAAAGGCATCTGCCCTGTCCCACTCCCATCCTATAGAAGGAAGGTATATGTGCCGCGACCAATCGGTAAAGGAAAATTTCACCTCGGACCATTACTTTGTTTTCTGGCTATAGAAAGTGATCAATAGCACATGTTCGGGCTCGACTCTCCCAGACTACTAGGAAGTTGGCCCTCTGTTCTGGCAGCGACCCTTCCCTCTAATAAATTCTATCTTCTTTACATTCTGCCTTATGTCTGGAAATTCTTTTCCAACCCGCGTTCGGACAACGCCAACTTTTTTAGTATACGTAGGTCCCAAGCAATATTTCATGAGGAGCCATGAAATACTGGAGATATACTTATATTTAAAAGTACCTGTTGTTTAAGATTCAAAATTTCCGGAGCATCCTGTATTTAATCTGGCAACCCTAACTTTTCCTGATCTTCCTGGATTTGGAGAATCTTAGTTTAGCCCTTCATGACCGTGTGAACTTTCCTCACTTCTCAACCTGGGTCTTTCCCAAAGCAAATCTTTTTACTCTTGTCTTCATAGGCAGCAATCTTTCTCTAGGTTTCTCCAGCAATTTGATTGACCTTTTGGGTCCTCTGCCTCCACAGTGTTATAAGTGTGGGGGGATTCAACGTGGAACCCAGCGCTTTCATAAATGTTACATACTTTAATCCTCACAATGACCCTGTGGGTTGAGTATTATTATCCCCATTTTACAGATGAGGAAGTAGAGGCTCCGAATAACTTGTCTAAATCACCCAGTTGGTAGGTGGATCCAAATCTGGATCTTGTAGCATCAAAATCCTTTCCCCTAGACTTAGACATAGAGCCCAGGGTGGGTCACTGTAACTGTTTCACCAAACCGCGCCTCCTCCATCCAGTGCTCACTTGGAATCTCCCGATCTCTGCATTGAATCTCATCACTGAGGAATTCATCACCTGCAGGGGAGTTTCCAGAAAGATCTCAGTTATTCAGAAGCCCAATTTCCCCCAGCCCCATGGGAGGAATCATAAGGGTACATCTGGATTCTCCAGGATTTACTCAATGCTTCCTAATGGCTGACACTTCCATGTAGTTTTTCTCATTTAATTCTCAGAGGAGCCCTGTGAAGTTCATATATTGCAGCTCCATTTTACAGATGAGGAAATCGATCAGAGAGGACAATTCACTTGATCTCCACAAAGCAAACTGTTGCACTCAACTTTCTCCCCTGCATGCTGTCCTGGCTATTTCTCAAGAACATGTAAACTCTTCAAGGGAGAAGCCTTGCTCTCCTTAGCCCTGTGCTGGGCACATAGGAAGCACTTGATAAATACATGCTCACCATTGTTACCGAGCTCCCTCTGATTGGAGAAAGGGATGTCCCATGTTGAGGGGACATTTGAGGGGTGGCATGAGAATCCTGGCACATGGGAAAGGCTGCTTTGTTCACCTGGGAGCTGAGCTCAGGGCCTATCAGTTGGCCTTCCATAACATTTGTTGAATGAATGAATGGATGGATGAATGAATGAATGAATGGGGTGTCTGGTTACCGGGATAAACAAGGTGGCAGAGGTGCTGCCTTGGGGTCAGAAAGACCATCTGATGTGACTAGCTCTACAGGTAAGGATGCGGGGCTGACGCACTTTCCAGAATTGAGGTGGGACAAGAAAGTGGACCCACCCTGTCCAGCTCCTCACCTGGATTAAGATGGTGTCATCGAAGAATTTTGCAGGAACCTCATAAAAATTCTGAAAGAAGATCTGAAGCAGAGAGAGTCGGGGTGTGGTTAGGAGACATTCCTTCTACCACTTCCCCCAGGGACTCAGCAAGCCTGAAGCCTCAGACTAGCAGGTTTCTGCCCCGCTGTTCACGCATTTCAATGGCTTTCAGCTCACTACCACCTACCGCTCCCCCCACAGAAGCAGAGGCCTGCCATGTTCTGGAGGGGTTTTCTATCCAGCAAAGGGCGGGGTAAGGGATCCCTGGAGGACTTGTCAGAAGCAGACCAAGGCCCAGCTAACTGCCCTGGGATGGAGATTCAAGCACCTGCTTCTTTCTAGATCGCCCTGGGAATTCCTTGGCTGTCCGTTGGTTAGGAGTCTGCGCTTTCACTGCCGAGGGCCTGGGTTCAATCCCTGGTCAGGGAACTAAGATCCCACAAGCTGAGCAACGCGGCCAAAAAAAAAAGATCGCCCTCTCTGTCCACCGCACCCCACTCCCTGCTGCAGTCAGAACCTCCTCCCCCAGATGCAGACCGGGCCCTGTCACTCTCCTGCTTGAATCCCTCCATGGCTCCCAAGTCCCATCCATGACGGGGCCCCAGGGCGTTTTGAAGGCTCACCTCCAGCCACTCCCCTCCAACTACACCCGCGTCTACAGTTCTGCCAACCAGCCCTGCTGCTTCTCCTTTCCAGGCCTCTGAGAACACTATTCCTTTTTCCTGAATTATCTTTCCCCATCCTGCCTTTTCGGAGTCCTCTCCAGTCCCTGCTCCACCGTGCTTTTTTCTTTTCTTTGGTGGTCTAGTCATCAATTAATTCGGTGCATGTTCTTGGAGTTCCTACTGTGTCAGACACGATGCTATGAGGTGGGGCTTCTGCAGTGGCCAGGGCTACAGAGGGCCTGCATTTCGCGGCTGCAATCCCTGTGCACCGCAGTCTTGCCCGGTTGTCATCCTTTATCTGTTCACATATGCGGGAGGCCCCCCACAGACCACTGGCTCCCCCCATGCAGGGCTCGGAATTACTCGCTCTCTATTCCCTGTGCCAAGCCCAGTGTTTGGCCCTCCATGCCCAGTAAGAGTTTGTGAAACAAACAAATGAAAGCACCCGTGTCAGGGAGCAAGCTTGCTGGCTGCCGGCAGGAAATGCCCAGCCCTTGGCTGGCCCTCCTGTCCCAAGTGCCCCCATTCGGCTCTGAAGGGCATGTGCTGCCCACCTCATTGAAGAAAGGGTTATTTCCCATCTTGATCCGCGTGTGGTGCTGGTAGCCTCCGATGACCACCTTCACCACCGGCTTGATGTCCTTGCCCATGAGCTGCCGTGCTTCAAACACCTTCACTCGGACCTGCAGAGGAGCAAACAGGGGAACTTGACGTTGGGCTCCCCTTCCCCAGTGGGGACTCTTCTCTAGAAGAACAATATGTTCTGATAAGAAACATCTACTGCGGATAGAAAGCGACCCCATGGACCCTGGGAAGGCCATGTTTCCTTCTCTTTCCTTTTCTGGGAACTGTCACCTCCACTTTGCCCTTTTCATCTTGGATGTTTCTTGAGTAGTAGGGACTTGTTACAGAATAAAGTCTAACATTTCTCAGTTTGCTGTCTTTTTATGTTTGTCTGCGATCTTTTTAGGGAATCGAACATTTTAAAGTTCTATGCAGTTGAATCTATGATCTGTGATTTGATCTCTGATTTGTGATTTCTTCTTCTTCTGCTTTTATATACTTTCCTGAGACTCAGTAAAGGGACGATGAAGTCTGAGCCTAGAATTAGAAGGTGGGAGGGAGAAGAGCCCGTAAGATCCAGGCTGGCTAAGGCCCCAGGGGAAGGAACTGGAGATGGTGGCGGCTGGCAGGGCACAGTCGTGGGAGCCTGTAGTGACTAGAGGTAGTAACAGCACGCAGCTCTCCCAGCCCAGCCCGTGGATCCGGCCGTTCTCAATGAGGCCTCCTGTGTCTCCATCGAGTCCAGGGGCCCTTCAAGGATTAATACACATGCAGCTACCTGACCATCAGAGACAAGAGTGGTCAAACCATGCAAACAGGCCTCATGTCAGAACTTTGCCCTACGCACTAATACATAGGAAGGGTAGTGATTTGGGCACGCTGACCTTCTATCCTGTGGCCAGCTAGCCTCGTGAAAAGGGTCAGGGCCAATGGGGAGAGGGAATGTTCTCCAAAGGAGGTGACAGCACGTGCAAAGGCCTGGTGGCTGGGGAGAAAGTCTTGAGAGTGGGGACTGTAAGTTATGCAGGATGTTACAGCAGGGCGGGGTGGGGCAGGGGCAGGGGACAGAGTGGCCTGGGGGCCAGGCTTGGGTTATCAAGGGCCTGGGAAGCCATCGTAAGGAGTTTGGGTTATGTCCTGAGAACACTGGGAGTCCTCATTTTTAAGAACATTTTTAGGCACACGCATGGCATGATAAGAAGGACTTTATTTTTTTTTTGGCCGCATCATGCGGCATGCGGGATATTAGTTCACCGACCAGGGATCGAATCCATGCCCCCTGCTTTGGGAGTATGGAGTCTTAACCACTGGACCGCCAGGGAAGTCCCAAGAATGACATCTTGGAAAGACCACTTGGACTGAAAAATGGACAGGAGAGAGCTGGGGGCTGGGAGTTTGGGAGGAGCCTATTCAAGGCGGTCCAGAGAAGGGATGCTGTTGTCTGGGACCAGGGGATGGAAGAGGCAATGGAGAAATGGGTGCGGCCAGGTGATATGAAGAGCTAGGACTTGGCCACTGACTGGATGCGGGGCGGGGGGTGGGGGGAGGAGAGGCAGCCAAGGATGACTCCCAGTCTCCTGAGCACGTGGCTGGCTGGGGAGCAGCTCCAACCATGGCAGAAACGTTAGATTACAGGCTAGAGATCAGAAATAAGTTGATAAGCCATGGTGTGGGGGTTCCAGAATCCCTGGAGCTTCCCAGGGATGCCCTGGAACTCTCCTCAGCCTCTGCTGTGCAGCTCATTTCTCCTTGCCCAAGGCTAGCCTCGTATTGCCGCCTCCTGAAGGGCAGGGTCCAGGCCTCAGCCCTGCCTCCCCAGCATGGCCAGGCCCGGTGTGCACTGCCCTCAGTGCTTCCTGTCGCCTCCCTGGAGCTGGCTCCAGCCTCAGCCACACGCAGAAGTTTCCCAGAATGGCCCCTGGAGGGGCAGAGGATGTGGTGAAGATCTGAGGACCTGGAGACCAATCTGAAGCCCTGACCTTCCTCCATGACCTTGTGGAGAGGCAGGGATGGCCTGGGAACACAGTGAGGGTGTCGGCCAAATCATGTGGGCTTTCACCCTGGACGGCCTCACCTGGAAGTGCTGAGGCTTTGGGGACAGAGCCTTGTGTACAGCGGAGCTGGGAAACATCCGTTTCTGCCTGGCCACCTCTTGTGCCATTATGGCCAGGTGGTCTTCATCACCTGGGGAAACATAGTCCATGGTGGGCTCTCAGAGGCTGGGGCTCAGGAGACTTGGAGGCATTTCCCTCATTTCAGTGTTCTATCCCCAGTGACCAGCTCCTGACTAAAATCATGGCCAGGAGGCCCTGACAAGGGCACATATCCTCCCCAGACATTCCTATGGTCTCCACCCACCATGGGCAACCCTGGGCCTCACACTCTACATATGGAGGCCCTTGGAAATGGCCATCCTTGCCTCTCTCTGCAGCCCATTGGAGGCTGGGTCTTCTGTCTACAGACGACAAGTGGACACATTGGGAGGACAGGTGATCTCAGGCAGGTGTCCGGAGGTCTGGCCTACAGACCCTAACCTGGTCACTATCCTTCTGTAGGGCTCAGTGGTTGAGTCTCCAAGATCCCCAAGAGCCCATCCAGCTATGCTTGGTGAAATGCAGGGCTTAGTCCCATGGAAGTACATACCTATCTTCTCGATATCCTTGTAGGTCATAAGGGCCACCTGTAGGGTGAGAGTGCACTGCAAAGCAAAGGCAGGGGATCTGTAAGATCCTGCAATCCTCGGCCAAATCATAGCACTGGAACCTGGTCCAGCCTGGCAGGGGCCACACCCAGTCTTCCCGGGTGGAGTGATGCTGGCCATGGCACAGGACCACACCATGGGGGCCTGTGCGGTCTGGGATGGAGGGAGGTTATAGACTGGTGGGGAGAGAGCAATGGGTTACCATGGATGGGGTTTGAAGAATAGAGGAGGCACACATTAGTGGTGGTGACAGAAGAGGATGCAGCAGGGTGGGGAGGAGAGAGAGGGTTGACTTGAGACCAGTCTAGAACCACTGATGCTAACCTCCGAGCCCAATGTCTTATGACCTCATGTGGGAACTCCAGCAAACACCTAACTGACCTCCTGCCTGCAAGCACTCTCACTGACCGTCCATCCTCCAGACCATCGTCAGAATCGACCCCTAAACACTCCCTAAGTGCTCTAAACATAAAGCTTTCCCACTCCTCTGCCTGCCTTTGAGTCTCTGTCAAAACAAAGCGATGGTGGCTGGCTCCCTTGTTATATAGCAAGCTCTGAATAAATCACCTTTTCTTGTTCTTATCTGGTTGGTCTTCCTGTGTTTCCACACATCTTAATCACCTCCCCTGTAAAGCCTTCCATTTCCTCCCAAGTGGAATTGTTCATTCTCTCCTGGCCTCAGTGAAATAGCTCACTGACCCCAATATACACGTGCTGGAGCACTTGTCACCGGGAGTGACAACAGATGTGGGTTTCATTCAATTTTGTATCCCAGGCCTTGCATAGTTGACACCAGTGGACAATCAACTGAACACTCAGTCTCAATGGGTGGACGAAGGGTGGAGATGTGGGTAGGTGGATGGAGGGCAGCACGGGGAAGTTGGGGAGATGATGGGAAGTGTGATGGGTCCCCCACAGGGCAGAAAGTGCTCTCTGGGTTGGGGGCACACCGAGACTCTGCTGGAGTGGATAGCTCAGCTTCACCAGCTGCCCCCACTCCTCCACGCACCCTTCCTAGGGCCCGACTCACATCTGTGGGCATCATGGAATGGTTGAGCAGGGTCAGGTCCTTCACGAAAAGGATCTTACTTGGTTTATTCACCAAGGGCTTGAGCAGTATTGTGGCCAGGCCAATGAACCTGGGGAGACAAAGGGCATGTGTGAGCTCCTGAGCCAGAGGAAATGGTGTCCTTCTCCGTCCCAGGCATGACTTTATCCCAAGATGTCTTTCTCTCCTCGAAGCTGTGCTGCCCACCGAGGCTTCAGGAAGGATGCTGTTGACTGGGAGCATCCACCAGAGGGCTCTCAACTCTCTGGGAATTGGCTTTGGGGCTTCCTGGACAGTGGGCACCCCAGTTACTGGCTCTGCCCTGCCCAGCCTTTTCCCAGAAGCTCTGCACCCACACGCCTCCAGAATGGGACCTGTGCCAAGTAACAGCTGATTGGACCAGGAGGTGGGCACCTGACCAAAGCTGGGCCAGTCAGATTCTCTGTCCTGGGAATTTTGACCTGGGATGCCATAGCCCCAGTCTCAGCGAGGCACTAGAATGGGGCTGTGATGAGAAGCCAGGGTTGGGCAGAGAGAAAGAGATTTGAGATTCTGTGCCTTCAGAAGAGACAGAACTGTCCCTGGGTCCCCAGTTTCCTAGTTCTAGTTGATCTGTCCATCTATATACCTAGCCTTCACATACACACACCCCACCTTTGTTTTTTTTGCATTAGCTGTCTGGAGTGGATTCTGGTCCTTGCATCTGAGTGAGTTAGAGATGCAGCATCTGCCGAAGGTTTAGTCAGAGAATCAGGCTCCTCCTGTCTCTCTCTCTGCCTTACCTTTCCGTCTTTACTGAGCCCATGTCCCGAAGGGTGATTTGCAGGAAAGAGTCCTTTTGCAGGGGGCGGTTCCAGAGGTACCAGATGAGGGTCTGTGGGAGGCACAAACAGGTCAGCATCCTCCCTCTCCCCTCCCTTTTCCATCCTCCTAGGAAATTCGAAAAGATACAGGGAACGGGCTGGCACTGTGTTTCTCTCAAACTGAGGAATATCCCTCAAGTCTAATTTCCTAAGAGGATGGCATTTGCTACCTTCACCAAGGGACCAGGCAACCTACCTGGGCTCCCACAGCTTAACTGTGGCTTCAGGGCTCCCACAGCTTAACTGTGGGAGTTAAGCAGTATTGTGGGCTTGTTAGTAGCTAAGGGGTTTGGGGACTGGGTGGGGGGACATGGATGGATGGGAGATGAGAGGGGATCCTACACAAGGAGCCCTGTCTCTATTTCAGGTTTCTGGGAACATCAGGACGGCTGGGTTGGACAAGATGGGTCCATCCCCAGAGTGGGTGAGATGGGCCAAGAGCTGTGGGCAGATGTGGCTGCTATGGCCCTGAGACCTGCACAGACTTCTCAGCTTAGAGGCTACTCGCAGGGCACGATGTTCCAGCCTTGGGAAAGGATGATGAGGCTCCCTGTCCCCTCCCTAGGCTTCTGGGCACGGTCTGGACCCAGCCTCACTGTTGGGCTTGTCATTGCCTCATCTGGGCTTGCCTGATGTGTTTTACCTCGTTCCATATGGGGTGATTGCCTTCCACCTCATGAGTTGTCCTCTTGACATCTGCAAAGACACCAAGGGGCCGGCATTGGTGGTAGGAAATATTTCAAAGTCTAGGTTCAAGTGAGCAAAGAGGGGTAGGACTTATCTAGATGTAGATAAGTCTACATCAAGTCTACATTGGCAGATGTGATACAGCACTGATTCTTTCCTACTCTGGAGATTTCAAAATTTCTCACTTTTTATAAGAGTGACATCACCCCATGTGACAGATAATGTTATGTGTTCATTTCATTTTCTTCCTGGATACATAGTTCCCAGCCATCTTGCAGCTGGGTGCGGCCGTGTGACTCATTCTGGCCAACCGAGTATGGGATCCATGCTCACCACAGCCTGTACTGTTTCCCAAAATCTCCCATGAGAGTCTCCGTTCTCCTCCCCACTCTCCACATGCGCTCGCACCATCTGCTGGGTGGTACCTGGTGACTTTGCAGCCACAAGCAAAGAGCAGCTGGTCCCTAAACTACTGTTTGGAGGAGTCATTCAGGATTGTTGCCTGATCTGCACAGTCGATGCAGCACTTGGTGTGGGCAAGAGGTAAACTTTTGTTGTGTTAAGGCACTGGGATTTAAGGGTTCCGTTGTGACCGGAGCAAAACTACTGTACCCTAATACATCCCAAAATATCTCTAATGGGTTGACAGCTCTTTATCCACTAAAATATGCCTTCCCCAGAAATATCTTTAACAAAGAACAGTCTATAGCCCTGCAAAGAACCTCTAAATTGCTAAATTTGAGATTCTTCCCAAGGAAAGAATGTGTGTGAGAGAGAAGAGAGAGGAAACAGTCGGGGGTGGGGGAAGAAGCAGGGGACTCTCTGTTCCTGCCCAGTAGTGGGAAAGGGGGACACTGTAGTGGATGGTATATGGGGGAAGCGGGGCTGGAAACGACAGGTGAAAAAGGAATAAAAGATTTCAAACATTCAGTTATAAAAATGTGTAGGCAAACCTGGGGGCAAACCCAGGATTCTGGGTTGTAGGCATTTTTTTTTTTTTTTTTTTTTGTGGTACACGGGCCTCTCACTGCTGTGGCCTATCCCGTTGCGGAGCACAGGCTCCGGACGCGCAGGCTCAGCGGCCATGGCTCACGGGCCCAGCCGCTCTGCGGCATGTGGGATCTTCCCAGACCGGGGCACGAACCTGTGTCCCCTGCATCAGCAGGCGGACTCTCAACCACTGCACCACCAGGGAAGCCCTGTAGGCATCTTTGTAAGAGAGAGGAGGAGAAGGACAATGCCTGGGAGGTGACGGGGAAGATGGCTTGGAATCAGACTGTTCCCCGGCTCACCATAAAATTACTTTCAGGGCAAAGACATGCTGAACCTCCACTACACCTCTTTCATCCCGCAAACTGGGGATGTAAACCTACATCACCCTGTACACCTGGAGTCCTGAGTGTTCCATCTCTGAGTGATAGCATACTCAGCAAGCAGGGTTCCACAGGCCAGAAAAAAATTTAAGGAATTTCAGTCTTCGCTCATTTCTTTTGGAAACTGCTGTGTCCTATTTTCTCTTGGTCCCAATTTTCTCACTCCCCACACTTCCTGGAAAACCTCATTTGCCTGTGTCCACCCCCTTTCTCTCCTCCAAAAGACTGTTCATCTTTCTTTCCCTTTTCCCCTTTTTGTTCCCAGCTCTTTGTTATATAGATACACTTAACCTTTTTCATTTTCTCTCATAAATCCTTTACACCACCCCTCCTACCCTTCTTGGACTTTTTTCCTTATCTATGAAAAATTGAGACAATAAAACTTGCCTCATAGAATTGTCGTGAGGATCAAAAATCATTACATTTATGATAAAACTTTGTTGATTATAAAAGTAATTCATACAATTGAGCAGTTATTACTAGAAGTTGTACAAAGACCTGTCTGTATATTATCTTTTCAAATCCTCACAGCCATCCTATGAAGGAGGTACTTGGGTTTTTTTTAACCTGTTTGTGGCACAGCCCTAGTTCATAGAAGAAACTCGAGAAGTATTCATCTTCTTTTTCTCCAGTAGTCATTCTCCGGAAAAAAATGGGAGGCAGAGGAGTCATACTAAGAGAAATAATAGCAACAAGGATGATAAATTTGAAAGAGCCAGACGGTGTCTACCTCACCTTTCTGTGACACAGGGCATCTTTTACCTAGTAGGGCACCGATAAATCTAGTTTTTCATTGAACGTATGTTGCCTCTCGGGGCTCCTGGCTCTCACCTCTGAAGTACACGGACACGCAGGATCTGGGTGGGGGGCTCAGGGGTGGGCTAATCTCGGCCGACCACACGACAAGCCGCAGCATCTCTTCCACCTACTTCCCTCCGTCCTTCTCTGGCAAAGCTTCCTTCTTGGAGCAACTTGGTCCAAGGCTTCTCCCAGGGCTCGGGGGTGAGGAAGGTCCCGAGTGTGTTGCTTAGCAAGAGAGGTGATGTCACAAAGCTCAGTGGTTCTTGGGTGGTGGTTCTGGGTTCTGGAGAGGAATGAGGAGAATGGGAGGAAGAAGAAATCACAGGGTACGAAGCCAGTGGCTTGAGGCGCCCAGGGCTGTAGAAACAAAACAGTTTGGCTGAACTGCACTTCCTCCTTCCATTCTCTTTTTTCTCTCATTCTTACTGTCCTTCTGATTTCAAGATCAGGTAGAAGGATAATATCTGCCGTTTATACAAGCAAGTTATCTGGAGTGAATCATTGCCAAAGTCACACAGTTTAGGTGAGAAAATAGAGAAGGGAGGTGAGCTGAGAAAAGAAATAAGGAAATCAAAGACGATTTCAGTGGTGTTTCAGAAGTCCTTCCTAATGTGGAAGCAAACATTTAGGCCTCCTTTTCTCTAAAGGAAACGTGAGTCTAGATATGAGTCTCTCTTTAACCAACAGAAACTAGCTTTCTCATCAATGAGCTCTTAACGCCAGCTGGGTTTGTAAGGTTAAAGAAAAATCTCACTGACATATTATCTTGCTGTGGCATCTTAATTGCCCTCAAGGCCTCTCAGCATGAGGATGGAATGGGGTCATTGCTCTTGTCCCTACGCTTTTTCTGCTTTAGGGTTGAACATTATATAAATTATACCTTATCCAATAGTTAGCGTGAAAATTAATAGATGTTTTAAAAAAGTATATTCGTTGATGAAACAATTTAGCGGTAAGCTTACTACCCATTCTAAAACATGCATGGGTATGTTTTAGAGCAAAAAAAAACAAAAAAACTGAATGTGTGATCTTGGTGTTAGGACTGCTTTCAGCAGGTTTAAAAAGTACTTCCTGACAGTTTTTCTTGAAGTGTAAACACAACACAATGCTTGTTGCTTTGTTAATAATTTTCCAAACTAAGCATGACACAAAAGGCAAACCCAGGAAAAGGAAGAGATTTGACAGCATAAAATTCAAGATTCTTGTACATAAAAATATACCTTAAAAGGTATATCAGGGCTTCCCTGGTGGCGCAGTGGTTGTGAGTCCGCCTGCCGATGTAGGGGACGCGGGTTCGTGCCCCGGTCCGGGAGGATCCCGCATGCCGCGGAGCGCCTGGGCCCGTGGGCCGTGGCCGCTGAGCCTGCGCGTCCGGAGCCTGTGCTCCGCAATGGGAGAGGCCACGGCAGTGAGAGGCCCCCGTACCACATACACAGAAAAAAGGTATATCAAAGTAGGGAATGTTTGCAACAGCTCTTATAATTCAATAAGAAAAAGATGAATACTCCAAAGGAAAATGGGGCAAAGTATAGATTAGATGACTGTGCAAATGGACAAAAAAAAAAAAAGTAAAAAAATTCAGCCTGCTTAATAATCAGAGAAACACAATGAGAACTTCCCTGTGGCGCAGTGGTTAAGAATCTGCCTGCCAATGCAGGGGACACGGGTTCGAGTACTGGTCCAGGAAGATCTCACATGCTGCGGAGCAAATAAGCCCATGCACCACAACTACTGAGCCTGCACTCTAGAGCCCGTGAGCCATATATACTGATGCCTGCGTGCCTAGAGCCCACGATCCGCAATAAGAGAAGCCACCGCAGTGAGAAGCCCATGCACCACAACAGAGTAGCCCCCGCTCACCACAACTAGAGAAGAGCCCACGCACAGAAACGAAGACCCAATGCAGCCAAAAATAAATAAATAAATTTATAAAAAAAAAAAAAAGAAAGAAACGCAATGAGATACTGTTTATCACTTTGCCAAATTGGACTCAGAAGCCCAAAAAACAAAAAAGATGTTAAAAAAAATTCAATCTCCTTAATAAGCAAAGAAATACAACAAGATACCATTTATCACCTCCCAAATTGGCAAAGAATGAAAAAAATGATAAACCTGGTGTGCTGAGGAAGGAAGAGGGGCAGAGAAAAGATACAAACCCATACACAGCGCTGATCAGAGTATAAAGAAAAACACAGCAGAACGAAGGCTCAGGATAAGTGCCAGGGAAAGAGAGTTAAGCGTGGGGAGAGATGGACCGAAGGCTGCTCTTTTCCTGTCATCCTAATAGTAGTATTAACCTCTAAATAGCATATTTAAATAGCATCCCTTGAATTTTTCACTTTGAGACTCTGTCTATCAAGTCATCTCTTTTATATCATCTCTCACTCCTTTCCCACCTCCTAGCTTCTCTCTCCCAAACTTCCCCCAACTCATCACTTTTAGATATTATCTACTGCTGTTTATCACACCATGGCAGCTTTCTTACACCTGCCTTTCCTGCATACTGTTCTCATAATTGTGTCTCATTTGGGAGCTAAATCTACATTCAGTATTTTCATTTTTATAATAATGTATGTTTTTTTAACTGCAGATCAAGTAGTACCCTCCAATTCCACATCCTTTCTTTTTTTTTAATTAATTAATTAATTAATTTTTGGCTGCGTTGGGTCTTCGTTGCTGTGCGCAGGCTTTCTCTAGTTGTGGTGAGCTGGGGCTACTCTTCGTTGCGGTGTGCCGACTTCTCATCGCGGTGGCTTCTCTTGTTGCAGAGCACGGGCTTGGTTGCTCATTGCTGAGTTGTTTCAGTAGTTGTGGCACATGGGCTCAGTAGTTGTGGCTCGTAGGCTCTAGATTGCAGGCTGTAGTTGTGGTGCACGGGCTTAGTTGCCCTGCGGCATGTGGGATCTTCCTGGACCAGAGCTTGAATCCGTGTCCCCTGCATTGGCAGGCAGGTTCTTAACCACTGTGCCACCACGGAAGTCCTCCTCGTCCTTTCTAATACAACTTTGTGTTTTTCTGTAATTTACAAATTGCTTCGTTTTTTCATTTGCTTGCTTTTCTTAAAAGTCTGACCAAGTCTTCTAACATCCTTCAACAGCTCTGTGATCTCCTTTTAATACAGTCTCCCCCAGGTTCAAATCCATCAGGTATTTTACCAGTTTTTTCATTTTCCCTGAGCCCTGGGGAGATCTCTCCTGGCCTCCTCTCCTCTCTAGTCTACACTGGCTGCTCCCCAGCCCTGTAGCACAGCTATCATCCTGGGGCTTCCCTTCTTCACCACCAGTTTTAGAATTCCCCCGTTTGTCTCCTGTGTTGGACTCTGTTTCCCAGATCCTTTCCTCTTTCTTGAGTTACTCTCTCATCTTAGTGGAACACGATTTTCCATAGCTTTCTGAATTTTTTGAGTGTTTGTAGGTCTGCACATGTCTTTATTCCGCCCTTGCACTTGACTGATAGTCTGGCTGGATGTATCAGTCAGGATGGGCTATGTTATGCTGAGGTAACAAACATCTCCAAAAATCTCAGTGTCTTAAAACAATAAAGCATTTTTTTAATAGCATCTTTACTAAGATATAATTCACATACCATAAATTCAGTCTTTTAAACAGTACTGTTCAGGTTTTTAGTATATTCACAAGGTTGTGCAACTGTCATCACTATCTAATTCCAGAATATTTCATCACCCTGAAAAGAAACCTCATATTCATTAGCAGTCTCTTCCCGTTTCCCCCTTCCCATAGCCCCTGGAAACCATGAATCCACTTTGTCTCTATAGATTTGCTATTCTGACATTTCATATGAATGGAATCATATAATATGTGGCCTTTGTGTCTGGCTTCTTTCACTTAGCATAATGTTTTCAAGGTTCATCCATTTTGTAACATGTATCAGTACAGTTGGCCACCCCGAATCCATGGGTTCCACATCCATGGATTCAACCAACTGCAGATGGAAAATATTAAAAAACAAAAATTCCATAAAGTTCCCAGAAGCAAAACTTGAATTTTCTGTGCATCAGCAACTATTTACATAACATGTACCTTGTATTAGGAATTATAAGTGATCTAGTGATGATTTAAAGTATTTGAGAGGATGTGTGTAGGTTATATGCAAATACTACACTGTTTTATGTAAAGGATTTGAGCATCTGTGGATTTTGGTATCCAAGGGGGGTCCTGGAACCAATCTGGATACCAGGTGGCCACTGTACATCATTCCCTTTTATGAGCTGATAAATCCATTGTATGGATATACCACATTTTATTTATCCATTCATCAGTTGATGGACATTTAGGTTGTTAACATTTTTGGGTTATTATGAATAATGCTGCTGTGAACATTTGTGTACTTGTTATGTGTACATATGTTTTCAATTCTCTTGAGTATATATGTAGGAGTGGAATTGCTGGGTCATATGGTAACTCTATGCTTAACATTCTGAGGAGCTGCCAGACTGTTTTCCAAAGAGGTCGCACCATCTTACCATCCAATCAGCGATGTACAAGGGTTTCAATTTCTCCATGTACTTGCCAACACTTTTTATCACATTTTTTGTTGTCACCATTGATTTTTTTAGACATCCTAGCGGGTGTGAAGTGGTAAAGATTTATTTTTCTTCTTGAAACACGTTTCTTGCCTTGGTGTCTCACTGTCAGTCAGTCAACCAACTGATCGGTCATCAATCAGTCAACACAGGATCCATTCCCTATATCCTGGCTATGTTCTCTGAAGGATACAAAGAAGGTTAACATCCCCCACCTTAGGATCTACTCTCTCTTTACAAAACACAGAGGAAAGTTAACTCAAAGCAATCTATGGTCAGTACCAGAATTCTTACTGGGGCACCTGGGGTCTTTTAGGGTCTGACTTATGTCTGCCTCTCCAACCTCATCTCTCTCCAGTTATTGACCACTGCTTCCTAGCTACACTGTTCTTGCCACTTTTTTTTTTTTTAAATATTCTAAAGCTGTTTTCTGCCCCAGAGCCTTTGTCTTTGCTGTTCCTTCTCCTAGAGAGCTTCTCACCCAGCGTCTACCATGCTACCGTATTCTCTTCCTTTGGTTTCAGCTTTAAGGTCACCTTCCCAGGGACACCCACCCCATCACCCAAGCCAAG